CAAGTTCAGAAATGTTTTCGTAATAGCAGTATTGTTTAATTTTGTCAAAAACTTTGAGCCTTACGGAGAAAGTGCATATAACATAAAATGTTTCATTTCTGTTCGCAACATTTGTTCAAAGCTTATTACTCTCCAACAATTACGAGTATTTAGAAAGATACGCGCAGAAACGCAAATAGGTCTTTATATAAAGTCATCTTTGAACACGCCAGATCTAAATGATAAACGAACTGGACAAAGTTCCGTAAAATTATTCAGTAGCAGATGTCATTATGGTCCATTTAGGCGTTCTAGAGTTTTTCAATATATACGGGCGGACTGAGCGAACTTGTACGCACTCCACGGCGGTTGTGAACGCGCCAAGCAAGATATACGTATATTTGTGTCAAACCAATTATAAGAGAGTACCGAGTAGGTCGGTGTAGCGGTAAAACTTGGGATATATTCGTGAAGTCCCCGATTCGAATCCACACTGAGTTTCTGGTCACTGGTAATATGTTCTATTGGAATTAATATGAAATTATCCATTATTTCCAGCATCACATTCTTAGTTAATCTCCAGATAATTTTCATTTCATCGAGATGTAGTATCAAGGGGAATAAAACTGAGCAACGAAGGCAGAAGTCTGACACTTCTTCTTCTTCTTCTTCTTCTTCGATGTTTTAGTTCAGTTCATAGTAAAATCAGAACCAGCATTATTTATTTCCAGTATCCACTCACAGTGTCTCAGTTCTTTAAATACACAAACAACATATTCTGTTGGGGCTCTAGCCACCCATATCGTCTCCTCCTTTGCCAGCTACTCACATGCTATTTATCTCATGTTTATTCATTACATAACCTGCTTCTCTTTACTATATTGATGATAATTACTATTAGTTCATTGATTCCCAAACTGTGTCTCATAATTCAGAATTACAACTAACAAAGACTGTGGTACCCAAAGTTAAAGACTTAACATCATTAACAACAAAGCCTAACATTTGACACACTCTGAGCCACTCCCATCCATCTTTCATCCTCAAGATCCATCTTAATGTAATCCTCATATCTCTTTCTTGGTGTACCAAATACTTGTTTTCAAAGAGGTTTTCTCACTAAAATTATATACACACCTCGGTAATATTGTGTCATGGAGAAGCCAACAAGTTGAAGGATGCCTGAATCAGGTCAGTTAATGAGTGGTCACTCACTACTGGTATAGTGGTACTATTCCAGTCACAGAGTACAAAAATTATAATGAATGAGGATCAGGACGTACTTTACTGTCTGTGTTATTTTGGAGAGTTGCTAAAGTTTCCCTCTAGGGAAAAAGCAGCTCAGAAGAACTGTGCAAATGTTAAAACCCCCATTTGGAACCATGAACCTTAAGAAAATGGATGACAAAATAATTAGGCTGATGACAGCCATCATTGCTCATCTGTGTTTAATCCTTGGTGATTGTGTCTTGAACTGATGGAGCCAGATTAAGATTCCTAAATTATTCAACTGTAACAGATTGAGAGAATTAAATAACACTTTCCTGCAATAAGAACTCTATAGGTGAATTTTCTGAACTGGGAGAAAATGTGAGTAAAATAATCAGAGTAGGTAATTTGAATATCGTTCCAAGGAAGTAGCAATAGCAATAAAAAGGGAACATGTGGATGAGGAATTGAATATGAATCTCCATTAATATGTACTGTAAGTGCCCTGTTCCAGTCTAATCTCAGGGTCACAGCAACCCAGACTCTTTTTGTACCCTACCAACATAAGATGCTAGGTGAGCAGAGGTGGATAATCAGCAGGCCTCAGTTCTCTTATATTATACTCAGCTTAGCCAGGTGTGACGGAGTAAACGGTAATTTTGCAAGGCGATAACAGCCTTGAGAATAGCAGATAGCATGAAAGATGCTCTGTATGCTCCTGATGTCTGCAGTCTTTATGTTAGGTTTGCATAAAGGGCTGAGCCATTAAAATCCCTTATCTCTCCCACCTTAGCCACATGTGTATCACAGTATCTTAGATATCACTGTCCTAGTAATACTAAATCCAGATATTGTTTCTCTTTGAAGTAACGTAACAATTTATCATTAATGACTACTAGGAAATGTATGCATGGATTACCATCATTGTTACCAACAGTTACTACCTTACAGAACCTCAGCTATGGATTCATTTAGTGCAAGCTTATGTTTCACTAAAGACTAGAATAACAACTCCTCTGTTTTGTGCAACAAAATAAAAATCTCAAAAATTCAGCAGATCTGCATTAGTAATACACTTTCATAAAACAAGGGAACTAAATTATACAGTAGGAAAGACAAACTGCAGCTGCAGGATGTAGGAACAGGCAGTTAAGTCATATCCTGTGCATTTCCTGATGATGTTACATAATACAACAAAGTCTTACCAAACAGGTTGGTCTAGTAGTAATACTTTAGAATAGTACTTGGGAATTGCTCAGTTCAAATCTTAATTGCAACATTGGCTATCCTGAGTGAGTTTTTTCATGATATTTCACAGTACCTCCAGACAAATTCCAGGATAGCACTTCCTTTAGGCCATGACCACTTCCTTCAAAATACTTTCAATTTTTTGTTCATCTACCATTCATCACTATACAGTCTTAAACTAAAAGTGTCATTAAATACAACACAAAAATCATACTCTATCTTTTATCTTGCTACATACGAGTACAGTACAAAAATCTGTTTTCCATTTCCTGCCCTTTATTGCCGCAATTTGTTCTGTAATGGGGATTGTGGCACTAATATAGCATGCATGAGGGAGATGAGAAACAGATACAAAAATGTAGTTGCAAAATTTGAAGGGAAGAGGCAGCTCAGAAGATCCAAGCATAGAACAATATTTAAATAGGTTTGAGAAAAACTGAATGTGAGTGTAGCTTGTGAAGAGACTCTGTTCCGTAAAGGTACATAATCCTGAAACTGTGTACATGTGCATCAAAAGAATTTTAATTAAAATTCTTCACTGAAATGTATGCCACCAGGAAAACCCAAGATAAATAGAGAAATACAATAGTGACTTATAGTTTCAAAAGATGAGAATAAAATACCCCCCAAAATTACATATAAACAAGCTTACTAAACATATTTCAAGCTCAAAATGGTTTTAGAAAAAGTGCTCACAAATCGAATAGATATTTTGCCTCAAAATAGTGATTTAAAAAGATAAGAACACAATCACAAACACTTATTATTCTTGGATTATTGAAAGCATTAGAGCATACTTCAGATCCATATTATTTTACATGCTGAGAGACAAAAGTATCCAAAATAGATTACTACGAGCCATAATAATTATGCATGTATATAGAAATAGTAAATAAGAATTAAATTTTCTTCAAAATTATCTATTCATACACATTAAAAACAAGAATGTCCACTATCGCCACTTTTATTTAACATATGCTTGAATTAACTGCTACACAGATGGGAAGTAGATTAAATAAGAGAATATTAATATTAATAAATAATGTTCACACACATTCCTCTTCCCAGACAATCCAATAATAATGTCAAATTTTCAAAATAAATTACACACTGAATAAATTAGTGGGCAAATATGGGAGGAAAACTTTGACACAAAAATCACAATTGCATTTTACAGCCAAGAATTCACAAGGAAAAGAACAGTGTTAAACAACAAAATTACACAAGTCAATACATCCAAGTTCCTCAGATACTTGCCATTGTGCAGAGGAGAAAAATATACAGGAGTTAAAGTTAACAGTTCTTTGCTAGTTACAGGCTTCATGAACATAACCTGTAAGCCATCAGAAGTCCAAAAACATGCCGAAATAAAATGCTATAGTACCCTAGTTTTACAGACACTTTTATGTGGAAGTTGAACAACACAAGCAAAGGACAAAACTAAAATTACAACTGCCAAAATGAAATTTATGAGATGAGTATCTGCTTGAGGCACTATGCTACAAGCTGGAAGGTTTGATTCCATATGAGGTCATTGGATTTTCAATTGACCTAATCTTTCCAGCCACACTATAGCCCTGAGGTCGACTCAGCCTCTAACAGAAATGAGTACCAGGAATCATCCTGAGGGTAAAGGGCAGCCAGCACTTACAGCTGACAACCTCACCATTATCTGTGAGCCAACTGTCCAGAAAATTGGGAAGCCTCAACATCTCACAACCCTGTGGGCCTCCATAACCTGTCACAGGGATAGCTTTACCTTTTTACCTTATGGTAAAATACAATGTGATGCCAGCTGCTTCTTGCTAATTTTTTTCTTGGTTTACTCTTTGGCCCCGAAGATGGAGGCAGTACATTCCTTCTATGAGCTTCTGTAGCTACAAAATGTTACATTTCAGAAGACAGTATTTTCCATAGTCACCCTGAGAGAACCTCAAACCCATTACCCTCTTGATTAAATGGAAAATTACATGGCTTAGATGGGCATTTAAATGGTCAAATGCTTAAGATTCACTAAGTCATTTAGTCAGACTTGAACAGACACTACTTGTGTCTTACATTGTGCCCATTACTGATATCATGGGAGCAAGTTACTTGAAAACTGAAACATCTACAGGACATGCTAATCCTACTACATGTTCACTTTTTGCACTAAAGAATACATAAAACTTCTGTGCTTTGAAATATAACAATGACCAGATACAAGTATCTACATGCAATCTTCACAGGTAGCACAAAGTGTATTCTTTATGTTTACCAGATCCAGCATAAACATAAAATAAATTGAAGTTACCCCAGTGTAACCTGCCACCATATTCAGATTTGTTGGAGAAATATAAAAATATATCCAATATGACTAATATTTTTAACCTTTTCAGCACAGCTATAATTAGCTGTACATAAATACTGTTATTGTGTCACCAGTGTGCATGTAAATGTGACACAATTAGCTGGTTATTGCATTGTAGATACACTAGGCTTTCAAGTCTTGCTAATAAAGCATCATGGTTATGAGGGCCAGGTAGAGGTGAGGGAATTAACAACTTCATTTCCATCTTTCTTTCTTAATATCAAATTATTATTTATTTCATATGTTATATACATCATTTGGCAACCAACAGATACAGCAGGAATCAGTTCAAGCACACAGAGGATTGTATGCAGATGATACTAGTATACTGTGTTCTAATTCTAATTCCACAGAACTTGTAACTACCTTGAAAGCGATTCTTCTAAAAATAAATGAGTGGTTTTCACACAATTCACTAACGCTAAATTTACCCGGCCCGTCGTGTGGAGGCCCGTGGGCTGAAAGGAATGAATCGCAGGGGCCATAGGGCAAGTACCACCCTCATGGTGAGTGGGAAACAGGCCAGCAAATGTGAAGGATTAATATGGTGTTACAAGAGTGATAAAATTATTCTGAAAGAAAACATCACTACTCTCACTCCTCCAATCCCTGTATGGACGTCTGCTAGCAAATGGATTCTTTGAACATTTTAAATAGACTGTCAGAGTATCTTTTTTACAACCCAAAATTCTTGCAACATCCTTATTAGCTTCATCACTAGTGTATGAAGTTAATATTAATGGTACATGATCAAATTTCACCAAAAATGGTAAAGATTGTAACCATGTATCACTATTAGTTCCTTCATATTCATGCAGGCCACAGTTATAAGCAACAATAATATCTGGAAACAAGAATGTCTCAGAAGAGGCATACTGATGATAAAGTTTGCCAGTCTGAAAATGAGTTCTTAATTGTCGTCCTTTTCGCTGGCAATCCACACACAATACACAAATTGTTTCCAATCCTTGTTCGATTTCAGGTCCTATGAATACGATGTCAAGAAATGACAACTGCGGCAAGCAATGCAAAATTATTTCCCATTTGTGAAGGAATGTGCACTCAAATGCACCAGCTCCCACCACATGTGCCATAAATTTTTTCTTGAATGAAGTTCTGAGTTTTTCTAGTGCATAAAGCAAGGTTAATGGGCAAGTCAGAAGCTCTGAAAATAGGGCAACTTCAATACTTCGATTCCACTCTGTGGTATCCTTAGCACATGTCACAGTAATAGATATAAATGAGTCGATGTCACATGGAAGGGGCTCATATTTCTCTCGCACTGGAACATTTAAAAATGGATATGGGTCTTTCACTTGGAGAAAGTGTCTGTCTATACACAAGCACAATTTTAACCACCTACATGATATACTATGTCTTAAGGAGTCCTGCTGTTTATGTGCTACAGAACAGTAGGAAACACAAAGGCAATCATTGCAGTCTTGCAGCTCTACTTGCTCAGCTTTGTAACATACTTTGCAAATTCGAGGAAACATAAACATTTGCTGTTCTCCTTCTGACAGTCTACGGCCCAGACTAAGTTGTGTCAACAACATTAAGTTTGACCGCAATTTGCACCAGTCTTCAGTTGAAGGATTTTTACATGCTTCCTGGTACAGATTCTCTAAACCTCGGCTGTTAACTACTGCCTGTATACATTTGCACAATCTTTTGTGCAAGGGCCAGTGTACTTTTTGATGCTGTGGACCACAATACAAAACCATTCTGCAACCCCCACATCTTTTTAATTTCTCTCCTTTACAATCATCTTTACATTTACAAACGTGGCACACAGTGCCATAGAAATACGTATCGTATAGCAGGGCCATATCACGATTAAATTTACTTTACGAAGGCCAATTCAACCTTAGGTACATTCCAACACCACCCACTCCTTCGAAAAACATCCCCTCTCTTTTTATGTGACTTCCGGTAGCTGTCGATTATGCAGACTAGAATCCCCCATAGTGGGAAGTATTCTCTGCAAAATTATTCTGCCTTCCAACGCCAAATTGCTAAACAGTGCAAGATTTAATAATACTTTACCGTCTACATTTACATTTTTCGTTCGAAATGTGTTATGAAATAGTGTACAGTCAGAATTTACTTTAAAAGTGGAATATTGACACAGGGGAAAACAGAAAACTCAATTGGCTACCCTGAATTAGAGTGTGTCGGAAACGTCACGGCGGTTATGTTGCCCGGCAATAGCATTCAGTTGCATACCACTGTTGGGAAAGTAGTGTGTGTGGGGAATGTTTGTGAACAGAAGCTTTATTAAGTATTTGTAGTAATTATTTATGCATTCTGAATTCTCCATAATTGCTCTAGTAGAATTACCATTTCTATCATTTGTCCGTGATTAGAGATTTTGTGGATTTAACAGGTAACAATGCCATACGCAAATCAACCCTCCGTGCATATAACAGACCTCACCGAAGAAAATGTTAAGTTTCAAATTGAAGATACTGAATTGAGGTAATTGTTGTCGTATTTCATTGATTGTGGGTTGTAAAATTTTAGGTGTGGCGCCGTCCACTCAAGAAAAGCACTGAATTTGCCCTAACGCAGTGTACATTGTGATGGGTTTTGAGGTTATAATAAATGCATTTGCAGTCAGGGTCTAAAGTCTGTTTTCAGTGTTGCGAACAGCATGAGAAGAGTATTCATCGCAGAAACACCCACAATGGCAATTGACTGGGTGCAGCTTGAGGCAAACTCCACAGTTTTAAGTGATGAATTTCTGGCACACCGAATTGGTCTCATACCCTTAACCTCGGATGAAGTTGTGGACAGAATCCAGTATACAAGGGTATGGCATTGATACAGACACACACTTAAAGGTTTACCCACCTCAGATTACGTTTAGAGTACTTTATTCTCATTATGTCAGTATCTGTATTTTATTGAAAACTATAGTGTTTGTGTTTCCACAAATGTCACTGCTTACTTTATGTTCTTAAATTTTGTAATGTAGCTATTCCACACAAAATTAATACAGCCATAATCGTGAACCCGACTAAATTTTATAAATCTATCTTTGTCTTTGTCCTATATCATGTAACAATGATCTATAGAGAGGAAATAAATAAATAAATATAAATATATTTCCCATAATCAGGTGTCTGTGGTACACAGTTCTATATGAACCTAGCTCTCTCTAAAAAAACTTTTGTTTGATTATATACTGTTGTGGCTTGTTCATGGCGTCCGCTTTGTAATAGTATTATGTTTATATACTTGTCCCACAGCTCGCTCCCTAGGGTCTCTGGGTTGCATATGTTTACCCACCTGTCTTTCTATATCCATGCCATATGTATGTAGCAATTGCACAACCTTATCCTCTCAAATTTCTCTGATACTTGGTGGGTTTGTAGAATGTGGAGACAAGTTTCCTTGCAAAATTTTGACTCCCAGTGTCGTAGAATAAAATGTTTACATGACAGATTACTTAAAATGTGTATAATTTTGGTTATATATAAGCCATGTGGTTCATTTTGTACTTTCATGAAAGCAAATGGAGTGTTCTTTGCACCATTTTGTTACAATTGTAATCGTTTTATTTTGAAGGTCGTTAATTTAACCCATGACCTCAACATTTATAAAAAGTAATTTTGGTTTTTGTAAAGATTATTCATGTAACTTATATCAGATGTTCGTAGTGGTCAGTGATGGGATTGGTAGTAATAAAAAAATGAACATTTTATGCCTTATCGTTCTCAGTCCTATTCATCAGTACATAATTTCAGTATATTGTAATAGTATACTAAGAATGATGCACTGGAATTTCAGTTTTGGGTTCTTTATTTCAGGATTGTACTTGTGCAGACTTTTGTCCAGACTGTAGTGTTGAATTTACATTGGATGTTAAATGTAAAGATGACCAGACACGGCATGTAACAACAGCTGACTTAAAGTCAAGTGACCCCAGAGTTGTTCCTGTTACTTCAAGACACAGAGAGGATGAAGCTAGTGAATATGGAGAGACAGATGGTATGATTGTAGCCTTAGACTTCTTGTCCATGATTTATTTTAACCGTCTTACAGTGCGTACATTTATTCACCTTACTCTTCTCTCTTGCACTACATGTTTCAGCACAAAAGTGACATCTTCAGGTGCTTTTCGTTGTACCTCAAACTACTTCATTGCATGCCCTGTTGTCTTTATACTAAAATATATACTCGTCATATATTGATAAATTTTAAATATTAAAAATATTAAAACTGTTCAGGATTTGTCATCCTTATGTCGTATCTCAATACGCGAGTCACACCTATCTACCTCTATCGGAGCATTCTTCCTACTTTCGTGTGTGTATTGTGCTTTGTGTTGTGTCTTGCTCCTGTGACTGCGTGTGTTATACTGCTATATATATACTGTTATACTGAGCAGTATATCTGTACTACTTAAAATCACATTATGATAATTAACAGAAGTTACAGTCCAGATGTCTCAGTACTCTCCATGCACAATATGCACACGCTTGTGGGACCAACAACTTCTCTTCAGTTGGCTCTACAAACATCTCCACAACTTAAAAACTAAGAAAGAATTATCATAACTCATAAATAATTATTCTCAACATGCCTTGCAATCTTCATTTTCTTCTGTCTTTTCTTCTCCCTTTGGTCTGGCATCTTCCAACTGCTCTTCACTCTCCATTTGGTCTGAGATGTCCTTCTCCCCTTCCCCCTCTCCCAGGCCCTGTCCACCAGCTGCACTGTCTTTTTGAGATTCTTCCTCACTTGCAGCCAGTTCAGGAGGAATGCAAAAGCCCTAGCAAATGTTAAGATCCAAATTACTGTCAGTTTTAAAACTGAACTGAAACCTAAATGACTACAACATGACAAGAATATGAAACTGTGAAATCTGGTACTCCGGTACCTGCTGCATCCAGGAATGGTATCATAACCTATAAGACCATAACACACCCTCTCATTGCTTCAAAAACATTAAATCTGAAACATATTACCTTTTGAGCTAACTCAAGGAAGATAGCCAGCAGGACAGAGAGCAGTTTGCAGCTAACTCGATACAAAGCCACCTGCTGCGTCACAAAGAATTGGTAGAAAAGCACCAGCTGGTCCAGGCAGGGTAGGCAGAGCAGGAGCAACCTGACACATGAGCACTGCATTCAACATCGCTTCACAGTGCACATGCCTCATCTCAAGTACACAACAATTAAATGGCACTAACCTTTTGCAGACATTTCCTTCCTGGACACCCTCTGCATCCAGAATTGTTACAAGTTTCTGCATCAGCAGATGTAACCCTTCATTTATTTGGCTCATACGAAACATGGATAAAGAAGCAGACAAGGATTCAAACACTTTAAGCTGTCCACCTTCAATCTGATTTCCTTCATCAACATTATTCTCCACATCCTTAGTTTGTTTCATGCCTTCCTCACTTTTCTCGTTACACTTCTTATAAACGTCCTGTACAGCCACCAGCAAGTTCTTCAGCAACTTCTCTGTCTCTTCTCTGAAGTCCTTGACTGTGGCGTCCTGCTCAGTGCTTCTTGGCACTGTCCCACTTTCAGCAACTGATGCACCTGCCTGCAGTGAAGATGTGGACAAGGAGAACTCTGTTGATTCTTCAAGCATGTGCTGCTGCAGCCAAATAAGACTGCTTATCATGGGATTCATACNTTTAAGCATAAACGTTTTTGTAACACTTGCCACACAGTAACATTTGGAATACCAGTTTCCTGAGACGCACGTCATGTTGAATTTCGTGGTCTTCGAACGAAGCTCTCCCTAATGTGTTCCACTATAGCATCAGAAACACGTGGCAAACCGGGTGGCTTGGCATGGGGCATAGAACATCCGGTCTGAACAAAATTCTGGTGCCAGTAGTAAATTATAGTCCTACTGGGAGGTTCCTTGCGATACTGAGTGTGTAATTTCCTTTGAACTTGTGTAGCAGACTTTGTTTCTTCAAACCAAAACACAATGAGCACGCTCTGCACCTGTGAAAGTAGCTATCTTGATTTCAACTGCGGGAGCACTTGCGGTGGTGGTACTGGGTACTACAGTACCACGTGCATGAAACTCGGTGTGTTTTGCTACATTATGACAGTGCAAAGCGTTGTGTATGCCCTCTGTATAAATTTATATAAGCTTTCAAAGTTGTAAAGCTCTTTTTGAAACACCCTGTACAATTATGCCATAATCATCATCATCATCATCAAACAATAAAGGAATTGATAATAAATCCATTTGTAGCATTATTTGTTTAATTCTTTCTTCAACGGTCTTCCATGCTTGTGAAAAACTGTTTCAGATTCGCTGAAATTGTGTCTTGTAGTTATGTAACCCTTTGATGATTATGCTTATACCACGTATATTTATTTGTAAATGAAAATGGTTTAGGTGCTGTGTGTTCCTTTGGTTTAAGACTGCAGTGTGCAGCTATCTTTGATTGTTCAAAAGCAAATTTGTGGTTTATGCTCTTTGGATTCTCCAGTTCTGTCATGTCATTCTTACACTCTACAAAAAGTTACCTTAATGGATATGTCTTATTTTTCAAAAATCATTTACCATACATCAGCTCAGGATACTAAAGTAAGTGGTGCTAGTGTTGTTCTCACATCACAAGTACATAGCTCTTTGTTACTACTGATTGTAGAGAAATTAAAAACTGGCACCCAGTATCAACATTCATGTAAAGTTTTGTGAAAATTGGTTAACTTGTTCAGAAGTTGGAAGGGGGAATGCACAGACAGCGTAGTGTGTTGGAATGCACAGACAGCATAGTGTGGTGATTACATAAGCATACTTATTTTATTTATTTAACTGCCAAACCATGCCATAGAACTGTCTTCTAGAATAAATACTACAGCTGCTTCACCAACTGACTGACTGACTGACTTACTGACTGAATTGTGGGTTTGATGGTCACTGAGTGTTGTAGACTGGTTAGTTCATTCATGATGGACTGTTATTCAGCGAGTGAGTAGAAAAGGTTATTGAAAAATTTTGGAAAATTGATTGCGATTAATGAGGAGGTGTTTGACAAGTTCGTTCATGAGAAGACAAATGAGTTAATGGAGGTGGACAGATTAGAGGTGTTGAAAACTTGAGATAGCAGAGAGCATTGGTTAGAGAGTGATTAGTGAGTTGAATGAGTGACTACCAGACTTATATGAGAGACTGTGACACTTCAGAGGGTGAGGAAGACACAACTCACACTTCTAGTGCACGATGTTTGTCACTTACTTTGCCTGTAGGAGTAGAAGTAGTAGTTGTAGTGAATTCTCCATGAAGTTTGTAGTGGTCCCTCACGCTTAGTGAGTGTTGTGCTAAAGATAGCAGACATCACAGTGCCCGGATATCAGGCATTCTGGGCAGACAAACGTGCCTCCCTACAGTCTGAGTACCAGGTGCTGATAGGACAGTATCCTGATGCAGATACACAATATGGGCAATTATTTAAAGTTTTATGTGCCACTGAGGAAATGGCAGGCTACGTACCTGCTGCGGTCAGGGAGAGTGCCGAATGGATGGCAGTAGTCAGTGCTGCTGAAGAAAACAGAGCTAACTATTGTGAGGCTGTGTTCAGGAAGACATTTTTCAGTGCTCTGTATAGGACATATACTGTTGCACTGAATGAATTAAAGGCCGTCCTGAAGGCTAGCACCTCAGCAGGCACAACCACCACCCCAAAAGCCACTGAAAATCCAAACCAGGAGGGAGGCTTCCAAGAAGTCCAGATATGCAGGCATCAGTGAGACCGCCCCAACTTCATAGGAAGCAGTGTCTATTGTAGTGTCTGCTGCCAAAAGCATTCCCCCAAGGAGGTTGCTACCTGAAACTTTTTCACCCCCCTCAGGGCAGTGGCTATGGACACTACTACAACGCCATCAAGTGTAGCAGGAGCGGAATGAGAGGGGGGTTCCCCCCCTATGTTGGTACCATAAGTATTGCTTCTCTCCAGTGATGATTTCAATCGAGATACTTCCTTGGTGCAAGGTCTTATATGAAGGGGGACCCAAAAATAACCAGAACCGACCTGTTGCGCGCGCATGCTTTGTAGTTACGAGTTGTGCTGCTAGGTGGTGTTAGCTGGGGGTCTCCCGCGACTGTTAGTGAGCTGGCGTCAGTCTGAGTTAAGTGGTTTGTCTGTGGTGCTCTGTTGTGTGCGTTCCTGTTTCAACCCTTTGGCGATTAGTGAGATGGCCGACCAGAAGGAACAAAGNTGTTTTGGCATGCAAAGGGTTAAGAAAGAAAAGTAGACTAATAGGCTAATAATAACAAGATTGAAAAGAGTGTACTCCATAATGTTATACACAGAGCTCCCAATGGCATGCTTTGCAGTTCATTAATCTTACTTACAGCAATTAATTAATGACATTTCAACAAAACACAAAATGTATTACATGAAACAAGCAAAGTTTATATTTTGACAGCATACTAATACAAAGTATTGGTTTACAACAATCTGTAAAATGGTTTATGTGATATATAGAGAAGTCTATTTATGGCTTTATGTAAAGTAGGCTTTGTAGTTGATCATTATACTGTAGAGTGTAGACCTATCGCTAGGTAATGGCCTGTACATGCACGACAGAGGAACACATCATGTCTGCAGTGACGTCACACAACAGAAGAAGGGATGTTGCAAACCAGTGTTCTCTTTGGGTCCGCTCTGAGGCTATATGACAATGGATCGAGTTCAGTTCAGTTAGTGAGTGCAGTATAGTTGAGTGCAGTGGATTGAAGTGAGTTGGTGAGCAGTCAGTCAGAGGACTGCTGCAGTTCAGTCCTTGTGGGCTCTTGGTGTTAGAAGCCGATGGCTGAGGCATGGGGATAGTTCAAGAACCCAGAGTAAGGGAAACGTCCAGCATTGGAAGCTGTTACCAGGCAACGACTGGTGAAGACACAGCAGACTGAAAAGACATAGTGCATGCTGTAGTAAATTGTACAGTGTGTGAATTAGTGATAGCCCTATAGTTGCTTATAGTTACGATCTGTAAGTGGCCAGTAAATCCAGTTACCGATCCAAACACCATCTGTAGTCACTCTACGCATGACAATATAAAAAATCAAAATTGTCAAATAATGTAATTCAGAGACACCTCATGTCAAGTATCACCAAAATGTGAGTAATGGTTTATGACGCAGGCATACATGAAGAAGTTCGTTTATGACCTTATGTGAAATAGGCTTTGCCGTGGATTAGTATCACTGAAAATCAGAATTCCCTGACAGCTTGTCCTAAAAATGGCCAGTGCTGAGTTTAGACCCTGCTACTAAGTGACAGACATGATTTCCATCCAAGGTCCCCCTCTAAAATATGCCTAATAAATATGATATGAAAAGTTGATTGTTGTAAAACTAACTCATTCACTCACTCCATAGAGCAGGGACCTTGAGAAGCTGACAGCCATTTAGCTAATTAAAAAATTCTACACCTTTTACTGAACTTGAAGACTCATTACTCTATTATAAGACCTCACCATCGGACCATATCCTCATCCAGTTTAATTCATTCCGGATCTTTACACCATGTTTCTGTAAAATATGTTTAATATTATCCTCATATCATTGAGTTCTCCAGTAGTCTTCTTTCTACATATTTTCTGTTGAATCTTTTGTGCGAATATCATCCCTTTCCATAAGAGTTGGTCATCTTATCATCTTTGATTTGGTGGTAATAATATTTTGTAAAAAGTGGGAATTTAAATCCTCTTTACACAATTATTGCTGCAAATCCAATTGTTAAACAATACCAAGAGTAACCTACTCTATATTAGTCTACCCTAATATTGTATATATTCCAGTCATTCTTCTTTAAGTTTCTAAATTCAGGAGTTTCATTAACCATCTTACAACTCTGTTTTAAGCATAATATATTGTCGCGTATTGAGCGTATAACACGACAAATAACTTCACGCCGTATTTGATATAGCGAATTTTATTTCACATTCGCACTTACAATCACCCAAATTACAGATTCACAATTACTGCTATCTGCAGTATCACAAATACTACAGTGCAAATGCCAGAATACAACTGACTGGTTGCTGGCTAACTCGGAGGTAACTCAAGGACTAACTGTGAATAGCCTTCGCTGCTCCTTATGTAGCCTCGTTTGGACAATACAGAAAATGGCCACGTAATAGGCAACACTGTTGTCTGGTGCCGTCGTGCTAGTAATGCTGTGTACCGCTGTTACTACCGTCGTCTCTCGCAACCACTGTTTACCCGTGCTGCCCAGCAACCGCGGTACCCCTTGGTGACGTCACCGCTGTTGACTCACGTTGCATAGCTACCAGGATGCTGGGACTCGGCTAACTTTGGCTGGCGGGGGGGAGGGGCATCATCCATAGCTCAACATGTCACAATATTTTATGTATCTTTCCACTTTCTTTTTCTCCCATTTCAAGCATTGAGAACAGTAAATGATGTTAGAATCATGCTGAACTTTTGTGTTCTATAATTATTTTCAGAAATCCTGATAATTAAGCTGCGTAAAGGACAGGAATTAAAACTGAGAGCATATGCAAAGAAAGGTTTTGGTAAGGAGCATGCAAAGTGGAATCCAACTGCTGGTGTGTGTTTTGAATATGATCCTGATAATTCAATGAGACATACTCTCTTCCCAAAACCAGATGAATGGCCAAAAAGTGAATACACAGAATTAGAAGATGATTCACAACGTAAGTTTTGTATTTGTATAGGTCTGAAAAGTGAACATTTATTTTATATGGTTCTGTTACTTGTTCGTTTTTTGGTTTTTGTAATGATGCTAATAGTAGTAATTATGACCTGTTTTAAGTAGCCTGAAAGGAATAAAGAAAGGCACAAATTTGTCAGTCAAGATAGTTGCTGAGTTGTGAACCAGGAACTTTGAAAATAAGAAGCAGTTGTGCTGACCGCTATACTGTGATGTCACTGTTTTATGTTCTGATGAACATATCAAAATAGTTGTAGTCCTATGTTAATAGTATAATATAAAAATTTGTAATGGTTCAGTGATCAAGGGATGTAACTAGATCTGTGTTTGACTTAACTGAATAGAAATTTGATCTCGACTGTTGCAGTAACTTTTCAGTAGGTAACAACAAGAAGTTTCTGGGAAGAACTTACGGTGTCTGCTTTTCTTCACATGTTTTAGTCTGTATGGAGAGCCTAGCAAAAACTGCTATAAGTTAATGATTATACAATTTGTTGAACCATTTATTTGTACTTTTACCTTTGTTGTAGTTCCTATGTTAAAATAGGTTAAAAATTTTGTACCATTGCCATGTTTATAATTTTTAACATACGAGAAATATTTCATATATAAAGGCAGATTTATTGGTTACTGTAATCAAACTGAAAGGTAAATGCAGTCTTTTCACGCCCACAGTGTTATTGTTTTACATTGTACAAAGATAGATTTGTATATTTGTGAGAGATTTTTTTAGTCATATTGTATGCGGTAGAAAGTGGGTCATTAGTGTTGCTCTGACTGCATGTTTGCACACCTGTCAGGCTACTATTAGTGATAGTAGGAAATTAAAAAAATGTACAAATGTGTGGCAAACTGTAATGGCATGATATTCGTACTAATTATAAGTATACTAAAGAGGAAATTTACTTGCTGTGAAACCAAACTCAGTTATAACTTCAATATGAAAATAAGCTTGAAATTGCCCAGAATTTACACTTGCAAAGGAACATGTATTACCTGGAATTAGAGAATCAGGTATAGAAAGTTTATTATAAATACTGTAAAAAACATGTGCTCTTATTTTTCAACTGTAATCTGTAGTGGAGTGATTCTCATGCTGTGGGTTCAGTGAGGTATTCAAAAGAATTCCAAAGATTCTATTCTGAACACCTGTTTAAAAGCAGCCTACGTTTAAAATTATCACTGACCTGAAATCTGGTTCTTATTTATTTCGTTCTATACATTAAAAAGTATGGATATAGATATCATTGAAACTTTGAAGTTATATGGAGAAAAAAAAAAGATTATGAAGTGTTATTATTAGTTTGTAAATTCTGATAATCTGTTCATTGCTGAGAACATTTTAAGGAATCAGATCTGTTATACCACTTTTGACATAATCCATATAGACAAGCCCTGCCTTGTGTTACAGATGAGGCTCCGTACACTTGGGAAGCTAAGCCAAATAAATTCTTCTTCAATGTGGAGAGTTCTGGAGCTCTGCATCCTGAGAACATTGTGATGATGGGTGTAGCTGTACTGAAAAACAAGCTGTCTAACCTTCAGACTCAACTCAGCCATGAACTTCAGCATGATGCTCTTACAATTAGTTAATTAGTTTAGGGGAAAATTCTGGAAATGTAATTAAAGTTAATAAAACATATAGGTATGCCTTTATCACATAGAAATAACAACAAATGTTCCTTCTAAGCTGTAGACTCTCTATCAGTCATGGCACAGCTAAGCGCTGTTTCCCGTTGTATTTCCAGTATTAAATAATTATTCATATTGAATAGGAAACTTCATAATTGTTTGTATTTTCTGTAATTCATCTCCTACAGTTTGATAATAACAATTTCTTTGTATCAAGTTGTGTATAATGCAATGTGTACTTCATAAGAATGTAAATTATTTGGCGGAAAAGAAGAAGCAAGTTACCAGGAAAGGACCCATGAAGAGGTCTTCTTTATAATGCATTCTTTGTTTGTAATACATAATGGGGAGATTTCGCCTGTCTTTCCGCATTTCATCTGTGTTATGACTAAACATATACAGTAAAACTTGGTTATAGCAACATCGGTTTCTGCGACACCTTGTCTATTGTGTCAAATATTCAATGGTACGAACTAATTCCTCATAAAGCAACTGTTTTTATACCTTGCTTAGTACGACATGCACAAATGCATCAACCTCGTATGTAACGTCATTTTCATTCCTGAATTTCTCTGATATCGTGGGAAAGTTCGATGTGTCTGCCCACCCTCACTTTCTCTACTTGCTGACGTGACTGTCCTGGAAGAATACGACCGCGGGCTGCAAGAGGAGCGTGGGTTTTATGCGAAAACAAGGGTGTGGGGTGGGACTGCGTGAATAGTGCAAGAGGACGCGGCAGGTTGTTAACTGCATTCCTTTCCTAGAATCTCGTCTAACAGGACCTCACATTGTCTACTTACCCTATAGTGTTCCTGCCTAAACCCAGAGAAGTGCAGTAGCGAAAACATGGCAATGAAAAGGAAAGTTTTAAGCATTGAAGAGAAAGTGAAAGTGATTCGTGAAATATTGTGTGTATAGTCAGTGAAAAGCGCTGTAATATGTCTTTGATATTACACATTTGGGCAATTCCACGTTAATGTTACGTTAGTCTGTACTTAACTACGTATTTCACTAAAAAATGCAACATTTTAACTCGGTTTTTGGTAGATTTTTAAGTGACTAAAATAAGGCTACTGTGGAAGTTCCCATTTCGGTTACAACGACATTCGTTTATAACGACACTATTTTTAGGTCCCTTTGATGACGTTATAACCAAGTTCTACTGTATTTATGAAATTTGCTACTGGGAGAAAACACTAATACTAATAGGGCAAATTTTCTTAATTCTTGTGATTTCTCAATATAACATATACTTTACATGAAGCTCATATCAATCATTTACCTTGAAAATGGATCATTGTACAAAGGAATTAACACGAAGTACAAAATACTGTACCATATAATGTTTATCAAGTTCTGCATATTGCATATTAAACCTCTCTTATTATGGTGTGTGTATTTAGTGAAATACAAGGAAAAGTGATTTATGAGGGAGAGTTAGTAAATAGGTCGCAAATGGATATAAAATGTAAAATGTGATAGCCAATCCTGGAAAAAGCATTTATTTATCAAAATATCATCTACGAACATTGATACGCCTGCCCCATTGCTTTACCAGTGCATCAAAACATGCAGCAGTCTTTTGACTGTTGTCTCAGCCACTTCCACGCCTCAGTTTTAACCTGTTCATCATCAGTGAAATGTTTGCCACCAAGGTGGTTTCTTAGCGGACCAAACAGACATAAGTCACTAGGGGCCTAGTCCGTGCTGTAAGGTGGATCCCCAAGAAGTTCCCACTGTAGTTCTTGAATTCTGTCCTCGGTTATTTGGGCTGTATTAGGGTCTGGCATTGTCATGATGAAGCAGTACCCCTCTTGCCGGTTGGCATGGATGTTTTGTGTGAATTGCACAGTATGATGCAGAATTTACATTTTCACCATGCTTCTGAAAATGGGTTAACAGCACATCCTGAGAATCCCAAAACACAGTAAGCATATCGTTCCCAGCGTTGGCATACTTGTAACCTTGAACTTTTTGTTCGAAAGTGAACTGGGATATTTCTGTTATAATGAAGCACACTTTTATTCAGGTTATAGTGATGCACCCATGATTCATTCCCAGTAACAATCCTTTTAAGCCTATGTTCACCTTCATCTGCTTCCTGTAAGAGATGTTGCAAGGACAGACCCACTGGATTCAATTTTTCTTGATCCTTCAGTTCTCTGGGCACCCACCGTGCGTACACTTTTTGAAACTTCAAATGATCAGGCATTATGCTGTGTGGTTAATCATGGGAATACTTCAGTGCAGTTGCTGCACTGTCTTGTAATACTCTACCAGCTCGAATCAACTTTTCCACCTGCTGTGCAGTTGCTTTTGTCACAATCTTGGCAAGGCGACGTGGTTGGGCATCATCTGCGACCTGTGAATGTCCTTGAAAGAATTTGTTGATCCAGTTGTGAATTGCTTTACATGACAAACCATTCCCACAAAACGTGAGCACATGGCACAAATGTTTCTGCAGCCATTCAGCTGACTAACTGCAGTTTCAGAGTAGTTAAATACAGGCAAGTTAAGGCATCTCCAGCTGCATAAGTCAGCACTGACAGGAAACCTCTGTATAGCTTGTATAAATGTTACTTAGTACACTGCAGTAACAAATGTGACAAATGGCACATGGAGTCCATAGAGACCCTTGATGCCGTGGCAGCACAGACATGCTTGTGCTGAAGCAATGGTGCAACAAATGTAGCACCAACATGCAAAGACTGACCTCTCCCTCATCAAAGAGGAGGCCCCATTTCTAAACACATGTTCAGGAGAGAACAAAAATTTGGTCATGGATCTCGAGACTGAAGCCAGGAGTGACTGTGCAGGCGAAGGTCAACAGCAGTCTAACTAAAAGACCGATTTTCTGGCAGTTGAGAAGTTAAAGAGATGGTCTTGGGTTAGGTATGAGAGGGTCGCCAGCCAGTGGGGAGAGAAGCTGTTGAACACAAAAGCTGAGAAATCTATGCTGTGTTATGAGATCTGTTACCAGGTAGCACATAGTGAAGACAGGCGACTTAGTGTGTGCCATTATTTTTTTTTATTATTAATTATTATTATTCTTAGTGGTGTGAGACAGTCCATGTGGTACTGTGGCCACTACTGGCCTATTGTAGCAGCCCCAGATGACATATGATGGTGATTGTGAAGCAGTTAGTGGAATGAACATTGACAGGGGAAACTGAGGCACTTGGAGAAAACTTGCCCCAATGCCACTTTGTTCACCACTAATCTGACATGACCAGACATGAGCTCGAGCCTGGGCTGCTGTGGTGGGAAGCTAGTAACTAACCGCCAGAGCTATCAGTACATGCCACAGTGAATTCTAAAGTGGGTAAAGTAGTGAAATGGCTGTAATTACTTGTAGTTATGATTTGTAAGACTTCAGTAAATCCAGTTATCAATCCAGGCCCCATCTATGATCACTAAAATCGTGACAAAATGTTATAAAGGTAAAGTTGTCCCTGTGCTTACGTAATTTAGGACTACGTGATGAAGACAAAGGGGGAGGTGGGTGTGTAGAACCACATATTCTTGACCTTGCCACTAGTTGGATGTAAGTGGTCAGCTACACGCCCTGGCCTCTTTACCCTCAGGGAAGGAGCCCCAGTTACCCATGGGACATGAGGCGGTATGGGCTCCAGTACCAGTCTGGACAACGTGAAGAGGAAAACATATTGCCCTTAACGGGAACTCGAAATGTGACCCCTCAGCTATCTATCATGTAGCCGGTCACTTTGCCGATTGTGCTATTCCTGATTGTATATGTATACACACACACAGAGTGAAACCTCACTAATTCGGAATTCGCGATAATTTAGGCAACTTTTTATTTTTATTTTTTTACGCATTATGACTGATGCCGGAAGCAGCGTCATCAGTAGCGACTTGAAGCACAGAGCAAATGATGCTCGAGATGGTTCAAGTTCGTATAGCAACAGGCGTGACCAGAGTGGTTTGAACTGCTACTGTACTGCGATGTGGAAAGCAAATGGAACAACTACCACATTATCACTTTTCCTGGATAGTCTCTTTCCAAAAACAGAGATACCATGTATGCGAGATGTTTCCTCTGCAGATAAAATTCCGGAGGTAAACTACTCTCCCAATCGGATCTCCGGGGGGGAGTGTTTCTGGAGGAAATGTCATGCAGGCGTTACAACAATTTTGGCATGGAAATGAATGTGGAGAAAACAAAAGTAATGAAAATTTCGAGACAACCAACCCCAGTCACAATAAAGATAGACCAAAAACAACTGGAGAATGTGAAATGTTTTAAATATTTGGGTAGCTTGTTAACAGATGATGGAAGGTGTACTAGTGAAATTAAATCCAGGATTGCCATGGCAAAAGCTGCATTTTGCAAGAAGAAGAATCTTTTTACCAGCAGATTGGACTTAAATTTGAGGAAGAAACTAGTGAAATGCTACATTTGGAGCATAGCTCTGTATGGGGCTGAAACATGGATACTTAGGGCAGTAGATCGGAAACATCTGGAAAGTTTCGAAAAGTGGTGTTGGAGAAGATCAGTTGGACCGATTATGTGAGAAATGAAGAAGTGTTAATTAGAGTCAGTGAGCAGAGGAATATCCTACACGAAATAAGAAAACGGAAGGCTAATTGGATTGGTCATATCTACGCGGTAACTGCCTTCTAAAAGAAGTTATTGAAGGAAAGATAGAGGGGCGGATAGAAGTGACAAGAAGACGTAAGAAGGTGTTGGATTACCTTGGGGACAGGCGAGGATACTGTCATTTGAAGGAGAAAGCTCTAGATCACATTAAGTGGAGGAATTGTTTTGGAAGAGACTGTGGACCTGTCATCTGACGGATTACTGATGATGATGATGATGACCATGTTGCTACAAAAAAAAAAGTGTTTCTTTAAGATATAAATCAAAATTTACATTTTATAACAAGTAAATTTATATTATAATACGCAATCCAAGTTTCAAAATAATGTTTCATTGCCTAAGAGCACATGAAGTCCATTTCATAACATCCCTGAATGTATTTTTAGTAGTACTTCTCTAAGCCGGACTTTTGCTAATTTGGACAAAGGTTCGCTCAAAATTGGTTCGAATTAGTGAGGTCTTTCCGATCACAGTGGCCGCGCAGTCTGAGGCATGAAATGCCTTCGAACGCTGCGATCGTTAGGTTCGAATCGCACTCAAGGCATGGATGTATTTATTCTGTGTTTCTGACAGGAAGCGCGGCCTTGTGACGGGCTTGATCCCCTTCCAAGGAGTCCTACTGACTGCCTTAGATTAAGAAACTGAAGTGAAACGAAGCGTTTCACGGATGCCCTATGCTCCAAGTAGGAGCAACAGGAATAGAAGTACTGAGGTCTTACTGTGTGTGCGATTTCTACTTTGTTGACCCGTTCCACGGTGCGCCGCTTTTTGCTGATGAATCAGCATGTCTGACGGCCCATGACGTTCGGAATGAAGGGAAGTTCTTACCTTTTGGGCATATATGTATCCCTGCAGTGAAACCACGCTTAATCAGAAAAGAATGTCAATTGTGGATCGATCTAACATTCGACGATAGACTGTAGGAACCAAATGAAAAAATTAACTCCGCTAACTGGATCGCTCAGCTGCAAGGCGTGAATTACTGTTGTTTTATAGGGTCTAAGCTTCAGCAATTGTTGCCGTTCTTGCACTAGACTTTAACCCCCCAATCTCTTGAGATAGATGTTTCAGTGATTTTCTAGGTGTATCAAGTCTGACCCCTGTGTCATCTACCTTCTCCTCAGTAAGCACTCGGCGATTATGTTTTCGTTACTTGACTATTAAGAATCCCCGTTTTTCTAAGTTTATTCACAAAACTGTGAATTGTTTGTCGGCTAGGAACTCTTTTACAAAATTTACGTCGAGATTTTCGCCGATACGTTCTAGCTGATCCGTATTTCACAGATGTGTAATACAGAAATGCACGTTGCTCTAAAGTATACCGCATGATGACGTACCACATTGCTTACTAACTGTAAATGTGAACAAATGGCTCATTGAGTTGATAACCCTGATAACTACTGCTTACTGCTGGCTCCCACACAAGAACCTCACGGCTCGTCGTGAAAGACAATGCAGTCGACCGGTCCACAAGTTCATTCCAAACGTTATCAGCCATCAGGGCTGATTCATCGGGGAAATTTGTATGCGTCTCGCAGCAAGCGGCGCACCGGTCGCCGTGAAGCACAGAGCACAATGTTAATGCTTCATTCGAATCAATTTCTTTGAACAAATACAGAGATAGCTCAATCGGTTCTGCGACTGGGCTATTGGCTAGACAGCAGGGGTTCAGAGCAAGAGATTTTTCTTAATTCACAGAAGTCAGACCGCTTCCGGGGCCCACCCGATCTGCTATCAAACGGGTACGACTGGCCAAGGCTTTTAGCTGACAACTCACCTCATCTATCGCCGAGGTCAAGAATGGTGGAGCTATACCTCCACCCCCGATACAGGGCTTAATTAATTACGCAAATGAACAAGCGTAATTTTTACCTAAAACAAAAACCCGATGTCAGCGTCAAAGACGAAGGAGTAACTGTAGCTAACTGTACTATCGGGTGAGTTACTGATGGCGTTGTATTGTTTTTATAAAATAGATAGCCTCATGACTAAGATGTCCCAACCAGAACATCTGTATCTATTAATCAGTAGCACCAGTAGTGACCGTAGTGACAGTGACTAAGCTTATTACTACTGAATTGACTAAAGTAAGGTGGCACTCATCGATATTAATTTATAGTTATGAATCTTATATAATACATATTAGTCACTTATAAATTTGCAATATTTAATATTCTTTCGTTTATGGCATATGTGCAGTTAACAGATCATGTAATGTAACAACCTCTAAATTTGGAAATGACTGGTTTTTGACTTCAGTAGTACTGAGCTTTACATCCCGTTCTTCCGATGCTTCCTATCCTAGTCTGTAGAAGTCACTCTCGTTTGGTATTGTTTGGAAAATGGCTGATACGAAGTTGTATGATGTATTAGGAGTTAGCAAAAATGCTTCCGATCTTGAAATTAAAAAGGTAAGGTGTTATTCAGTACTACTATGTCAGTCTTTTACAGCGAATAATATTGCTGTATTTGTGCTGGATAAGTAATACACAGGATCAAGTTCAGTAGGGAGTCCTGGAAGTGTAATTTGCCAAGGCCACCACTTCTGTTAACGTGAGATTGATATTAAAAATTATCACAGGAAGTTAATTGAACATCTCAGAAAGCCAGAGGTTTACGCATATGCTGTATTTATTAGAATAATAAGAGGGTTTGGAGCATAATTGTTTTTGTGTTACTTGCGTTCCCTAAGCACAATCTTGTACAAAATCGTCGATTTGTTAAAAAAAAAAAAGCCAAGTAATGCGTGTGTAGTCTGAATGCTCGTGTGCCATGGTATATTCACAATGTGTCATCCTTTCATTTAAAAACCAAGGTGTGTTATCGTGTGTTCAAAAGAATTCTAGGTCACAAATACGTATGTCGTTTACTCAGTGCACGTAGTCAAAATTCCAACTTGTTAGGTGCTACTCTCTCCGTTAAAGCCATTCATTCATTTTTATTCATCCTGGAGATAAAAGTACATTCATATAGGATTTGTCCATTCAGGGTTATAGGGTATGGAAATTAAAATAATGATAATAAATATTCACTTGTTAAAATTATAACAGTATATGTACTAAAATACCGATGATAATATTAACTTATTAGAAATAAAGCAATAAAATTAATAAAAATAATGACAATAATGTTAAATTATTAAAAATATAACTTATTCTATATATCTTAAAATAGCTTTTGTATGCAATTTTTTCTCATGTATGGTAACTGAGTTGTTTTGCATAGATATACAGGAAATTCTTAATTTATAAACAAAATGTCTGCAAAAGTTTTAACACTTATGCTTGAAACCAGATTATCACTAGGCACAATTTTATAATTGGTGGTTAGGTTCCCATGCCAGCTCACAGTACCCAAGTTATCACATAATTTAACTGAAATACTTTAGATTTGGAATGAATAACAGTAATAATCAGTACTACTAAACAGGAGTACTAAAGCAAAATAGAAAAATTGAACGATTTTTATGTTATTTGAATGCTCACAGTCTTCATTATTGGGAATGATGTTTGTTAAGGGGAATGATACAGAGGTAAAAAAGTAAGGGCTTTTGATGACTTACATATACAGGTTTGTAGTTTATACAAGGTGGTATCGGAAAGTTCCTGGACTGTTATTGTTGTACCTGCCTTGATGAAAGAAGATGAGAGGGGAGGCTAAGGTCTTACTTCCACAAGCTTATTGCATCAATCTACCATGTGACACTGTGCTGTGAACATGCATTGTTTTTACATGAGTGCTTTTACAGCTCCGTGTTTCATTTTGTCTACAATGGATGGCAAAATCAATAATGTGTCTGCATGAAGTTTTGCGTAAAGCTCGGTAAATCCGCTACCGAAACCCTTGAAATACTTTGTGAGGCTTTTGGAGAACATACTTTAAGCCAGACAGCTGTTTTTGAGTGACATTCACATTTCAAGGCTGGTCAAGTGTCAGTTGAAGATGACAAATGTTCAGGATGACCAAGCAACAACAAAATGACAGAGAATGTTGAAAAAAATTCGTAAACTCGTCAACAGAAACCATTGCTGAGCCATCCATGAGCTCGCAGATGCTGTTTGGATCAGTTATGAAGTTTGCCAGGAGATCTTAAGAGAACATTTGAGCATATGCCTCATTGCTCCATCATAACACGCCAGCCCACAGGTCCCTGAAAACCACAGAGTTTGTGACTAACAGCAACATGGTTATTCTTCCCCATCCTCCCTATGTGCCAGACTTAGCCCCCTGTGATTTCACTTTGTTTCCCAAATTGAAAATGAAACTGAAGGGATGACATTTTGAAACAGTGTCTGACATCCAAAGGAATCACAAGTGGTACTTGACAGCATTAAGGAAAATTACTTTCACAGTGCTTTTGAAGTTCGGAAAAAAACAGTGGGATCACTGTATACATTTCCAAGGAGACTATTTTGAAGGAGATGGCAGCCAAAATTGAGTAAGTTAAGCCATCATTTCTTTTTCGACATAGTCCGAGAATTTTCTGATAGCACGGACACAGTTGTGGATATCACTAAGAGTATGATAGTTTTTGCATTTCTAAGCATCACCTTTTGATTATTTATATATTGTGTGAAAGGTCATGAAATTTAACTGCTGATTATTGGGATAAAATTAAGGTTCTTAGTTTTAGTGAGGGAAAATGGGAAATGATTATTCAGAATCTATATTAAAGAACACCATATGGAGATAAATCCCCCCCCCCTTTTAAAACAAGAACAAGACAACCTTGTATTCAAAATAATATTTCATTACATTTTTTTATGCTTTGTTTTTATACATGGCTGCCTTGTTTCAGACAACAGAAAAATAAGAATCAGTAAGCATAAAATCACCTGAATCCTTTGCCGTATTTTATCTTATGTTACAGACCATTTCCAGATTTCAGTATCTAAGCAAACTCCTTGTTTTGTAACTGAGAATCTTATTTTTAAAACCTCTGCACATTATAAATACTGGTGCAGCCGTGGGTCCTAGGTGGGTTTTTGAGAACACAGTTCCATAAATGCAGCTGTTCAGTAAAGATCCAGAGAACCATTGAATTATTTATTTATTTTTTCTTTTCATTTGCCGCTATAGCCCCAGTATGGGCCTTGGCCTACCTCCATGAAATGTTCCATTTCACTAGATCTTAGATATTCTGTTGGACTCCTTGAGTGGGTGATCAGTTTGTCACAACGTCTCTACCTGTACACAAACAAAAACGCGCACGCACACACACACACATGAAAACAAACAAACAAACACTAAACATTCATGCCCTGAGTGAGATTTAAATCTACGATCCCGGCCTCCGAGTGAGCAAAGACTGCTTGGCTAGTTGACCAGCATTTATTTATTAACTTGTGGTTTGTTTACCGAGTTGTTAGTAGCTCAAGACTTATAGTGTTGATTTGTGGGATTATTAGTGATTAATGAACCGGAAAGGTTGTGGAAGGCAAGAGTGATGTCCTAATTTTGATACTGCCCTGGCATTTGTGCGAAGGGACTAAGGGTAACCATGAAGAACTTCAGCATTATCAGTGTCCCAGCTGAGGTTAGAACCAGGTGACTCCAAAATACAAGTCAGACACATTGAGTTTTTATGCCATACGTAGATTTAAATTTTGTACTTTATCTACTGGGGTGTCAAAGTAGCCTGGTTGCACGAAATGTTTCAAATGGCACCACCAAAAGCCTGCCTTTGTTAAGGAAGGCCTCTGAGGTAATTTCCTTGTGCTCAGCTTCAGTCTGAATGCACATCGGCACATTGCGAAGAGCTGTTTCTGTGAATTTGCCAGTTCAGTTGGCAGATGATTTCACTGCAGTGGATGCTCCTTCAGTACACTGACCTCTAACTTCATCATCTTCAATAAAAATGATGACAGGTTAATGGGATGATATGCTTGGCCTCTATACAGTCAGATTTCCTAGGCTTCTGTAGGAACATTACTTACACCTGTCTTGAGGTCTAAGGAATATGAGTCCCAGTTGGTTCTCTTGGGATCTCTAACATAACATAGTGCTCTTGTGACATATAGACCTGTTGCTAATTGCAACTTTGTAAGCAGCAACATTGTCTGGGCAACGGCTGAGTAAACATGTTCCTGCGGCGGTGAATACGTGCACAGCAGTAGAATTATTGTTGTAAAAGACCAAGGTGTAGCATGTGCTGTAGTGATTTGTAAAGTGTGTAGATCAGCGATAGTGCTATAATTCCATGTAGTTCCAGTTTGTGTGTACGAGTTGTTAGTAAATCCATTCACCAATCCAAACCCTATCTATAGTCAGTAATTACATCTGACAGCTGGTGTCAGAAGTGTCAGAAGTGGTTGGATTGGACAGTGCATTGGATCTTAATGATTACACTGCTACACTATGGAAGTGGAACAGCTGATGGCACATCTGCTGGCTGGAATAAGAGCTGGCCACGAGGAGACTATGGCTGCAGTGAGATCCAATGAAGAAAAAATAGATGTCAACCTAAAGATCATAGAAGGTATGAGGGCCTGGCAAAAATACATGTAGGCTGACTGAGAAGCAACAAAGGCCTATCCAGAGAAGATGGAGGCAAATCCAGAGGAAATGAAGTTTGTAGCAATGCATGAGGAAGTCCCTAAAGAAGAGGCTGCAACGGAAACTTTTGGAGCACTGAAGGAGTGGTATGGTGATTGGCATCTAGCTGTGAGGTGCTGCAGAGAGTTGAAGAAATGGATCCAGGGCAGTGGTGGGTCCCGTAAGAAGTTGACCACCGCCTGCAGATGGATGACCCACCATGCCATTCTTTCACGGTGTAAGGGACACAGTCCTCAGGGACAAGGCAAGGACAAGGCTGTATCAAGAGGAGCCTCTAAAGGACGGATGCTCAAGGGGAAACAGTGGATGTGCCTAGAGTGGAACAGTGGCATAAGGAACCGAGGTGCAAAATGGCAGCTACATCAGAGGAAGAGAGGACAACCAGCAACTGCATCAGAGGATGAGGCGAGAGACAGGAGCTACATACGGGAAGCATGAAGACATTACATGAGGCCCTTCAACAAACTCTCGAGTCATAAAGCAAGCATTAAGGATTTCCATCATCTCAGAAACAGAAAAAGAAACTGCACACAGAATAACTGCAATGGATATAGGACCATTGACCATTCTTGGAACTTTTCCCCACACCAACTGGAGGAAGATGATGGTGGTAAACTTGAGGGACAGCACCTTAGGAGGGAGCTGCTCGGGACAAGCAGCCTTAAGGATGGAGCAGCAGGAGCAGTTGGAGAGTAAACAGCATGAAAACAGAGCTCCATGGAGGAAGATGAGACCTATCACAGATGTCACAAGCACAACCCTCAGAGGAGAAGAAGTGTTACTATGCCTGTAGGCCAAGTGGCCTCCGTAGTCTAGGGGTAACGTTCCCACCTCGTATCTCAAGGTACGCAAGTTCAAACCCGGCGGAGGTCATGGAATTTTTAAGGGTGGAAAAATTCAGGGAACAAGTCCTCCGGGAGGGACTTTAAGCCATGGGTCCCATGTCGTAGCTTTACGGCATGTAAAAGAACCTCATGTCTCAAGGAGACCTCTGAGCCAAATTGTAAGGACATTTCCCACCCAACAATAGTCTCTAACACCTCTGGTAGATGGGGGAAGCATCTAGATACTGCTGAGCCAGTAGAGGCCGAACTCGCTGGCTGAGTCGGGACTGATGGCACGCACCAGTACCGGTAGGGTATAGAGACTGGTAGAATATCATGGGGACGTACAGTAGATCAAACTTGTCGCGGTGCATGGGGAAACCCATCCCCTCCAATAATAATAATAATAATAATAATGCCTGTAGGCCATTCAGGATGAATAACCTTAAGGAGGGAGCAATGTGCATATAGACCTGTTGCTAAATGGTGACTGTTTCTGGGTAACGGTTCTGTAAACACATTGCCACAGCAATGAATGTGCATGCAGCAGTAGAGTTACTGTTGGAAATGAAGTGTTTTTTATGTGATCCATGCCGAGATGTTATAAGAAGCACAGTTAGAACAATGAGTTCACTTGTGGGTAGTATTAGCCAGCTGGCAATGGCGTGAACACAGAGAGCTAAAGAATCTTCATTGTTGAGAGCTGTTATGAAGCAACAATAAGGGAAGACTATAAAAGACTGAGGCTTAGTGTGTGCTGTAGTGATTTGTAAAGTGTGTAGATCAGCCATAGTGCTGTAATTTGCTTGTCGTTCTGAGTTATGCGTACAAGTGGTTAGTAAATCCATTCACCAACCAAAACCCTATCTATACTCACACATACATGTGACACTATGTTATATACTTGGAAGCATATATACCTATTATCTGAGAAGAAGGCTTGACAGATATATGGCAGTTACATGGTTCTATATTTCATTGGTACATAATGCTGTATCAGTAACCTCTTCCTGTTTCTGGTCACGAAGGTCAGTTCATGATGTAGATTAAGAATGAAACCAGACTTTCTCCTTTTGGGTTGAAGTCACTGCTCCCCATATTAAATGGTGTGTCTGCATGTCACATTCATGATGAGTTGCTTTTTCTTGCGTTTGCAGTAATAGATGACATTCTTCAGCCCCTTTATAGGCTGTGGTTCATCCGAGTCATACAAAAAGTATGGTATGGTGACAGTGAATATCTTCCCAGTCCCTCCATTTGTATGTGATCCTCACCATTGTTTTATTCCTGTTAACAGAGCTCCAACAAAGGTGGAACATTAGTGTTATTCCTGACATAAATGCAGGACCTTGCATTTCCTTTGGATGCAACAGAAAAACTTCTCCTCTGAGCTCACTGAACCTCATATTTGGCCCCCATAGATCCAAGGTTCCTGAATAATTGCTGCTTCTGCATTTTCACAGCAAACTGGGGGCACGGGGCTGCCATGGTGTAAGTTAATTTGAACAAATTTAATGTATTTGCCTCCTTTTTAACCTTCAGCATACTTCATCTCTTCAGTGAGGGTGTGTTACCATCCCCTTGTCCTTTCACTCTTCTTTCCCAACAGACACTATAGCCTACATGGAATCCCTTTGATTGACTTCACAGCTTAGAGAGAACCCTTTGCCACCCCATTTGCTCCAGTGACCATAGTTACTGAGAGTGTATGTGTAGTAGTCCCTCCCCCATTGACATCAGATCCTGAGGATGATGGACTCACCAATGCATTATGGCTCCTTGCGCGAGTCCATTAAAAATCGTATAAATATTCTCTTTGATGACTTTCGCAGAATCCTGGTCTGTGAGAAGGATAAGCTGCTGGCCTTTTAGGTCTGGTACATTCTTTGTTCTCAAATTAAAAACCAATTTGAGATTCAAGATTTCAGATTGGGAAATAAGAGAGGAGTTTGTGGGTAGCAGAATGTAGGGAGTTTGGTAGGATGACTCCAGAGAGCTCTGGGGTGGAGTAAGTCACAAGCATTCGTAAATATTTCTATAATACTCCCTGTAATTTATGTAATATATATGCTAGGAACCATGAAAGCTCAGTTAGCATAGTGACTGTGTTATGGGCTGGATACCAGGAGTCTGTTCCCAGCAGAGCCAGAAGTGTTTCCCTTTGCCACCACATACCGTCGATTGAGATCAATTCATCCTCCTGTGGAAAGGATACCAGATGTGCTTTTCCAAAGGGCAGTGCAGACGGATAGGCTGTAGACCCACTTATGCAACTTTTCATTGTGAATGCCACAGTAGTGAACAGAAACAAAAAAAAAAAGAACTCCGTGGCCTGTAGTCCGCAAGCGAACTGTACTGACCAAGCAACTGCCGCTTTTCGGCGAAGTTAGTACCGACTTTTGCAGATAGAGGGTGTCACGTGGTCAGTGCAACAGATCCCCATGGCTGTTAATCTGTTTTCTAGACCAGAGCTACTATTTCCTTGAAATAGCTCCTCAGTTATCCTCACAAGGCTGGGTGGACCCTGTTCCAGACCCACTAGTTCTCAGAAAATCTGGTAGCACGGGGAATCAAACCCAGGAACTCTGACTACTGGACCGCCGAAAATCAAATTTAGTTTAGCTAAGATGGAGCTGAGATCAAGCACAGTATGTTTTGTAGATTCATTATATAGTATCATATTTATGTGTTGCCTCTTCAATTCCAGTAGTATTTAGAGCATTTGATGGATTTTCCATGAAACTTGGTATGAATGTCATGAATTTGTTTTGCATATCTAGACTCCTATATGATATAGATCCCAGGAACTTTGTGTTTTGGTAGAGCTTTGAATAATATGCACCCTTTCCTTAATGCTATCTTTATGTAGAATAAAATAACAGCATGGCAGCGAAGCAAAATCAGTGCCTTCCTTTTCATTTGCTGATAAGTGGTTAACCATTGAAACCAGATGTTTGACATTGGTTGTTCTCTTTTCCCATGTTTCAGCTGCCAAATGTGGGAGCCTGACCCATAATGTAATCCCTGGAATATGTCATTATAGTGATTATATAAAATATTTTTGAACATCCATACCCTTTGTAGGTTTACTCATAGAGCTTTCAACCGCAAAGAGTGCAAGCACTACACTCTTTAACACTTTGCTTCACCTATTGTAGTAGAATGTAAGAGGGAAAGATATTCGTGTAACAGACCATGGAGGCCCCTAGGGTTTTAAGACATCAAGGTTCCCACATTTTCTAGATGATCTGCAGTGAGGTTGTCAGCCTTACACATTAGCCACCCTTTACCCCCAGGAAGATCCCTGGTACTCTTTTCTGTTAGGGCTTGAGTTGACCACAGGGCCATAGTGCAGCTGGAAAGATTAGGTCAATTGAAATATCCAATGACCTCATTGGGAATTGTACCCGCTACTTGCTGGCATGTAGCATATAAAATGGTCCTGCTCATTTGACACAGTAAAACATATCTCATTTGAAACTGAAATACTCAACAAAACAGTGTTGATGCTACCATGCTCTAGCGTTTTAAATGGAAGAGGCATGGAGTTAATTTAAACATACTCCTCCTTCCAGCTGCTAATAAGTACATTAAAATTTATGTCAGCATTATATTGCTACTGTGACTTTATTTTACAGGCCTACCGCAAGCTAGCCAAGGAATTTCATCCTGACAAGAACCCTGAAGCAGGAGACAAATTCAAGGAAATATCATTTGCATATGAAGTTCTGTCAGACAGTAAGAAGCGTTCAGTCTATGATAAATTTGGACTGAAGGCAATGCAGGAAGGGGGCCATGATGGCCCAGGCTTTGCTCCTGACGATTTCTTTTCCCATCTTTTTGGTGGGGGTCTGTTTGGAATGGGCATGGGTGGTGGCATGGGAGCTAGACGACAGCACCGAGGTGAAGATACAGTTCATCCACTAAAGTAAGTTAATTGTTATGAAGCAGTGTTGCAGCCAAGTGTGAAATTTTAATATAGTTACGGACCAAGAATAATAAGAGTGGAGAAGTTAGCTTCATATTGACCAGATATCATTTTTGAGTGGGTAACATTCCTGCCTTTTATTTGGGAGGTTCTAGGTTGAAGTCTCAGCATGAATACTAGCTATTCTGATTTAGATTTTTTATTACATTACATTCCATGGATCCACAGTCAAAATGGCTGTAGGATGTGGAATGGGTCATTCCACGTGAAATCATCCAGAAAGGTCGCTCACCATTTTAAAAAAAAATTGTAATCTGCTCGGTTCTCCTGGTACAGGCGTATTTATAATGTGAAAAAACGCATTTTCGGCTGAAATGGAGATTTGCGTTATCTTCCATATCTCGATAACTATTGAAACTACAGACTCCAATAAGAAACCAATTTGTTCCCCATGATATGGACTATAAATCATATTATTATAAGGTTTTATTCAACTCGCTTCCTCTAGGTCTAATTAAGCTCGAAAGTTACCTATCAATTTTGGGAAAAACGCCATTTTTGACCTTCAAAAACCAATGGGAGGGGAAAGTATCAGATCTGTGATTTCTACCCTTTGTTGTTACCTACATTGGGAATATGATCACGTAGTTTTGAACCCCATACCTAGTTTCCAAAATTTTCCAGTAGATTTCAAACTTTGCTCTGGGCCCAAAATCGACCATTTTTAACATCTCATATCTGCGGTGGAGAAGCTCCAAAAATTTTGAAATTCATAGCAAATAATGCTCTATTCTAGAGTAACTTGGAGATAAAATTAAAACTTTGATATTCAAATAAGAGCGAAGTTGTGGGCACTTTGATTTTTACCAAAGAAATCAATACCTCGATAATTGGCTTACCTACATCCAATGGCATTGGCGGTTCTTTATTCGGTATAAAAGACGAGAGATTATGTTCTGTCATTAAAATCATATTCAGGCCTGTACTTACTGCTCGGAATGACACATTATCAACACTCAGTTCTTAGCTGGCTATAAAAATGGATGTAGGTCTCTTATTTCACGCCTCGTATGTTTTGACATCTTAACTCAAACTTTTGTAATCGTGATGTTAGTGTTGGGCTGCTTTCTCAGCAGCTTTATGTATGGATGAAGCATTCATGTGAATGTTGTCTCGAACTGTAAGTCAGTGTATGTTCAGCAACTGTAGATCTTTCAGGTGTATCGAGCTCGGTATTCTCCAAGTCAAAACTAAAAACTTTTTGAAATGGAATGTTCTATAGGTATTGTCACACGTGAAGAATGTTATAATACTATGTATGGTGCCATCAACAAACAGTTGACACTTGTGAGTGAATTGGGTGAAGAGAAACAAACTGTTTTAAAGTTAAGATTGGGTGAATGCGATTTGAGATGCATATGCAAGCATCGTGAGATTAAGTATTCTATTAAATACAATGACCTGTTTGGAAATATTTGTTGTGACCTGCTAAAAGTGCACAAACGAACCATTAAGAAAGGTTTACGTGAAATTTCATTAGAACATCTGAAGAAAGAAAAGAATTTTCCGGTAGCTCTAGTACCAGGTAAATCCTTGTGTCCTAATTGTTACACAAAGATTTTTGTTCTTAAACCATAAGTGGGGGCAGTAGTGGTTCTGGAAGGAGCGAGTTTGCACCTATGCAAGAAAATCTGGCAGAATTAGAAGCAGTATGTTCGCCTCTAGATATTTCTCCTATGGCTAAAATTATGAAGATGAATACTGGGAAAAGACCTGCTGCTTAATCAAAAAAATGTAGAAGAATATCCAACTCTCTTTAAAGGAAATTAGCAAGTTCATTTTCAGATGATGGATCTTGATTCAGATGAACAAATACCTTCCTTTGCATTAAGTGAGGAGTATGATTTGTTGATTAACAAATTAAAGGAGAAATGTTAAATCTCGAGCAAAGAAGAAAAATTAAAATCATTAGCTTATTGCCAACTTTGTGGTCAAGACAGAAGATAAGTCAAGAATTTCACGTTTCTGAACACTTGGTTAGAATTACTCGAGCTCTTCAGCAGATGCAAGGGATCCTTCCGGATTTAGGCAAAAGGTGGGGCCAGACAGTTAGTGACAAAACAATTCAGGCTGTCATGGAATTTTATGAAAACAATGAAAACAGTAGGATCTGCCCTGGAAAAAAGGATTGTGTGAGTGTTAACGTGGGAGGTATCAAAGAGCGTATGCGGAAACTTTAAGAATACTCAACCTGAACACAAAATTGGTTTCTCCAAATTTTGTGCACTTCGACCAAAGTGGTGTATCATTGCTGGTGCATTGGGGACTCATACCGTTTGTGTGTGCAGCTATCACCAAAATGTTAAGCTGATGCTAGAGGGAGCAAAATTGAATTCAGACTACAAAGATTTATTACGTGTAATGGTTTGTGACATCGAAAGTTATAAGTGTATGAGTAATGAATGCCCAGACTGCCCCGGAGAAGAAATTCTGACGGAATTGCTATCAGCAGAATCAGAGAGCATGCACGATCAAATAGTCCGCAAACAGTGGGTCAACACGGACAGAGCTAACATGATTTCTGTAATGCAGTGTTACAGTGAATTCTGCGAATCTCTAATTGAAAAACTGACAGAACTGAAAAACCATCACTACGTGGCTAAAGTTCCGTTGCAGTATTTGAAAGAAACGAGGGAAAGCCTGGATGAAACACAGCGCCTTGTTCTTGCAGATTTTGCAGAAAACTATTCATTTCTCATTCAAGACGAGATTCGAAGTTTCCATTGGGTAAATCAACAGGCTACACTTCACCCATTTATGTATTACTACAAGGCGGACAATACTTAACAAAATGCCGAAGCTTTTGTATAATCAGTGATCGGGTAAAGCACGATACAGCCACAGTTTGTGTTTCAAAAATTTCTTATCGCCAGTATAAAAGAAAATTGTGCCCTCAGTTAGGAAAGTTATTTAGTTCCGTGATTGCGCTGGAAGCCGATATAAGAACAGAAAGAATCTTTTCAATTTATGTCATCACTATGAAGACTTTGGACTGGAAGCAGAATGGAATTTTTTGCACCTCGCACGGGAAGAATGCCTGTGACGGTATTGGCGGCACCACGAAGAGGCAAGCAGCGAAAGCCAGTCTTCAAAGAACTCATTTTAATCAAATCATGTGCCCGCTAGATCTGTACAAATTCTGCACAGAAAATAGCTCATGGATAGTTTACTTTTTGTGCCAACAGAGGAAGATGCAAGAAATGAAATCATTCTAAAAGGCAGGTTCCAAAAGTGCAAAACTGTACCCCACACAAGAGAAAAACACCGGGTCGTCCCTCTGGAGGAAAATGCGGTCAGGTGTTATACGTGGTGCAATCCAAAAGTTCCCGAAATATATTGTGACATGTTGAGCTATGGATCACCCCTACCTCCCCAGCGGTACGTGGCGGTAACGTAACGCTCGCATTACTACGGTAATAGGCGAGTTCCCGCCCCGCCACTCCCCTCCGCGTTGACGTAACGCGCAACGCGCGGTGACGTCACGAGCGGAGCCGAAGAGAGCCGAGCNGAGCTTTTTTTGGCCGAGGTGAAGAAGGGCTCTTCCATTGCGACGATTGCTGCTTGCTTTCAGGGTCGTAGCCATAAACCCAACTTTCGTCACCAGTGACACCCTTCAAAAGAAAGTTTGGATCCTCTTGAAGCTGTTGCTGAAGTTCCTTGCAGACTTCTAAGCAATGCTGCTGCTTTTCATTTTGCAGCAGTCGTGGCACAAACTTCGCCGCAATCCTCCTCATGTTCAGTTCCTCTGACAAAATTCGTTGACATGTACCATAACTTAGTCCCAAGGTGTTAGAGGTCTTGGATGGTCAGTCTATGATCTTGCAGAATCAGATCCCAAACTTTTGCGACATTTTCTGGTGTTTTGCCCGTTGATGGCCGTCCCGAACGATCGTCATCATCAGTTAATGTTAATTTTTAAAACGCTTATACCAGGTGTAAGTTTGTGTCTGGCCTGAACTGTTTTCACAAAAAGCTTGCTTCAACATTTGGTGCGTTTCTGCTGCGGTTTTCCCAAGTTTGAAACAAAACTTTATACAGACATGCTGCTCTCTCAGGTCAGTCATCGCAAAACCGCAAACTCACGGACACACAACAATGGAAATACGTTCAACAATAAACCCAACCACTCAACTCGATGCCGCTTGCCACACTGATTCAAGAAGGATGTGTGAGGAGACACCTAGCGGTATTTCGATGTACTCAACCATTCCCGCGAAAAATTCAAATTTCGGTAACTTTTGGATTGCCCCATGTAAAGCATCCAAATCCGACGATTTCGAAGACATCGTAGTAGTGGACAGTTCCTGAACTACTTTCAAACAAACTGGACGATTTTCGTTGGAGTACACAAAGAACTAATAATACTGGATGCAGGTAAGCCAATTATCGAGGTATTGATTTCTTTGGTAAAATTCAAAGTGCCCACAACTTCGCTCATATTGGAATATCAAATTTGTAATTTTATCTCCAAGTTACCCTAGAATAAAGCATTATTTGCAATGAATTTCAAAATTTTTTAAGCTTCTCCACCGGAGATATGAGATGTTAAAAATGGTCGATTTTGGGCCGAGAGCAAAGTTTGGAAGCTCCTGGAAAATTTTGGAAACTAGGTACCGAATTCAAAACTATGTGATTACATTCCCCATGTAGGTAACAACAAAGGGTAGAAATCACAGATCTGATACTTTCCCCCTCCCATTGATTTTTGAAGGTCAAAAATAGCGTTTTTCCCAAAATCGATAGGTACTTTTCCAAGTTTAATTACAACTAGAGAAAGTGAGCTGAGTAAAAACTTGCAATAACATGATTTGTAGTCCATGTCATGAGGAACAAATTATGTTTTTATTGGAGTCTGTAGCTTCAATAGTTATTGAGATATGGAAGATAACGCAAACCTCCATTTCAGCCGAAAACGCGTTTTTTTTCGCATTATAAAAACGCCTGTACCAGGAGAACCGAGAGGATTACAGTTTTTTTTAATGTTTCTGTAGTATGAAAATATGTCTAAATAAGTGTATAAAATATAATTTTTTTTAAAAATCGTGAACGACCTTTCTGAATGATTTCACGTGGAATGACCCGAATATGTCATAAATACAAAAAATATGTACAGACCCAATGGAGTTCTGACACAGGAGAAACCAAGAACACACCGTGACTACTCACAAAGCTATTTAAAGATACATAAGTTATTTTCTAGACAGTAGGTACTCAGCAACAGGGTAAAGTATCGTTTCAGTGCTATTTTAAATTTTGCCTTTTCATTCATAAGACCTTTGAGATCAGATGGCAGGTTATTAAAAATGTTGATCCCAGCATAATGTGCACTTTTCTGAAAGCATGAGAGGTTAGCATTTGCTTTATGAAGACTGTGTTTGTGTCTTGTGTTAATACTGTGTACATCCACATTCTTCTGAAAATGTTCCTCATTATTTGTAATAAAGTTTGTTAATGAATATATATATATATATTCACAAGGCAAAGTTAAGATCAGTAGTCTCTTAAATAGATCTCTACAGGAATTGCAGGATTTGACACCCATCATGATTTTCTTTTGCAATGTAAATACCTTTTTACGGTCAGATGAATTACCCCAGAAAATTATTCCATACTTCATTAAAGAGTGAAAATAAGCAAAATAGATTGATTTGAGAGTGTCAGTGTTACTAATATGTAACGTGAATCTAATTGCATAACATGCTGTACTTAACTTTGGAATCAACTGATTGATATCGTTTTTTCCATTTTAAATGATTATCAATTTGCTAGCCAAGGCATTATATCCTATGTTTAATGGATATTGTGGAGAGTTTTTTGTTATAAATTTTTATTATATTTGTTTTTTCTAGGTTCAGGGACAGCTTGTTTACAGAAAACCATTTACTCATTTGTGAAAGAACCTTGCTTGATAACATGCAGAAATCATCTAAATTTTTACCAGAAATTATAACACGAGTGTCTGATGAGGTCCATATTGTAGGAGGGAGGTCATTTATATAAGTTATGAAAAGCAAAGGCCCCAAAATTGACCCCTGTGGAACTCCATGTTTTATTATTCTCCAGTTGGAGTAGGTACTTGGGATTGAATTTGATGATTTTTATTTCAATATTTTGTTTTCTATCTGTTAGGTAGGATCTGAACCAACTTAACACTGTTCCTTGAATGACAAAAAAATGTAATTCAGTTAATAAAATTTCATGATTTACACAGTGAAAAGCCTTTGCCAAGTCACAGAATATTCCACCAACATGCATTTTTTGATTAATAGATTTCCATTCCTAAAGCCAGACTGTTCTGGGACTAGTATAGTGTTACTCTGAAAGTAATGGCTTAACCTATTGTGCGTAACTTTTTCAAGTACTTTAGAGAAAGTAGTTAGCAGTGAAATTGGCCTGTAGTTTGACATATTAGTCTTGTCCCATTTTTTTATATAGTGGTCTTACTACTTCCTTCCACATTCCTTTTAATTCATTTTCCACTAACCTTACTCTTGTTTGATGCTATAGTCTGAGCATCAGACAGCGTTACTAAATAGCAGTAAATAGATAAGTAATCAATTATCCCATAATAATGTACAGACTTCAGCACCTTACCTTGTAGATGTATGGGGAGTGTGGGTTACAGGCAAAGCACTGCCAGTTCTTAACCTTGGCAGCAAATGGAGGGGAATGGTTAGCTTCATGCTTTGCTGCTTTACCTCCAGGAAAAGAACCTTCGATACCTATTGCTTAGGAGGTTGGGTGGGCCCAGAACAAGTGGTGAAGAGAAAAGTCTGTGCCCCTACCAGGGATTGAAGTGTGTACCCAGTCAGTTTACTGACAGCTGTTCTGTCTCACCCGTGGAATACCAGTCTCATTCGGCATGAGTGTTATAGAGGTAGACTTTGTCTAGAACATCTGTGAGTGTATGTCGAGACGGCAACCTTGCAGAAGGTAAGAATAACCTGCAGTTTTGAAAGTAGTCACTTTCTCTCAACACCAGAACATACAGGTTTGGGGATGAAAGTTGGTGGTTAGTACTGATCATTGATATGATGAAAAACAGAGGACCAGTATCGAACCTGAGGAACCTGTGTTTTATAATGCCTCATTTGGAGTAGGGTGTAATAATATTAATCTGCAGAATTTATATCTTCTTTCTGATTTGTACTCTTTAAGGAATGATTTAAACCATTTAAAGAATAGCTTGAATTTCATTTAATTTTAGTGTTGATAGCAGTGATAGTGTCGAGCAGGTGCCCAGCTCAAACCTTGTATCGGCTATCCGACTGAAACTTTACCTTCTTCTTGACAGCCTCTGCAGACTAGTGGCTTGATTAAGATATGGCTGTTTTCTTCTGAATCCTTTGCAGTTCATTAGTAATCCTGTTATTCAGTGCTGTATAGTTTAGACACTAACAGAATCGTAAAATAAACCACGAAAGATACGGTAATATGGTTAAAGAAGGAAATGTAGCAACACTGTGAACAAAAGATAGAGTATCCTTTTTTTGAAATAGATATGTTGATGACTCATTCACACTCAACAAATGTAATGTGATCGAGTAGTGTATGGAAGCTCTGCTTTGCTGCAATTATTATAGCTTGAGGTCTGAATTTGTTATTCTTGGAATATGGTATAGGACTCAGCAACAAGTTTTCATAGTCAGCTCCTTCACAAGAAGGTAAATTTATGGAAAGTGCATTTGGAGGTTGATTTGTAAATACCCACAAGAACAAGTTTGCTCAAACTTGTTTTTATGGCTAAGTGTCAGATGGAAGCTTGGCACTATTAGTTTACAGTATAATAATGCGTGTTCTTGTTTCAGGATTTCATTAGAAGAGATGTACAATGGCAAGACAGCTAAACTTCAGCTTAGTAAAAATGTAATTTGTGCAGCATGTGATGGGTATGTGCTTTTGTTTATTTCATTGACCCCTCTGCCTGATACTTGAAGCCCATTATCATAATATTTTCCCTTTCACGTGAAGTAAATTTTATAATTCTGAATGCAATACTGTAATTCAAATTAATCTTCGATATAAAATATGATTATTTAATCCTCTCTCTCCCTGGTCTGGTTGTTAGGTACTCATAACCAGTTTAGGTAGTACAAGTACGAAAGCAGTCTGTGGCTACTCCTGTTTCATTGCTTAAGAGCCATTTTAATGCTTTTGCTTATGTACAATATTAATTTTTGGATGTTAATTGTGGGAGCTTGGACACCCAGTACACCTAGTTTCTGAACTGACTGCAATATGGCACTACTGCATTCAGGAAACATCCATCTTCTTAATGTTAACTATAATTATACACATAGATGAAATTATTGGAGAATATTGTTGAAGGTTACAGCATAGCTGAATAAGTATTGATCAGATTGAAGAGTACTGTCTTCTGGGATTTAATGCCATATAGTCGATTGAAAGTCTACCGACATTTCAAAAAAACATATTGCCTCTATCTTCAGGGTCAAAGATTAAGGGTAGAAAGAAACCAGCAGAAGCAGGTGGTAAGTAGAGCTCTGCGTTGGTTGACTTTCAGTGGACTACACAGCATTACATCACAGAAGATAGTACTTTTCATAACCACTGCTATGAGAACCTCAGATCCTACATGGTGCTATATCCCAGAAGATAGTACTCTTCATAACCACTGCTTTGAGAACCTCAGATCCTACACAGCGCTATATCCCAGAAGACAGAATTCCTCATACCCACCGCTGTGAGAACCTCAGATCCTACACAGCGCTATATCCCAGAAGACAGAATTCCTCATACCCACCGCTGTGAGAACCTCAGATCCTACACAGCGCTATATCCCAGAAGACAGAATTCCTCATACCCACCGCTGTGAGAACCTCAGATCCTACACAGCGCTATATCCCAGAAGAGAGAACTCTTGATAACCACCGCTGTGAGACCCTCAGATCCTGTGTATTGATCAAATTTTCTGTATTTAGTATTTATCAGTTACCAGTTAAATAAATGGTACTGAAGTGGTGCATAGTGGGTACTGTAACTACCAGCGAAATGTCTTTACTGCTGCTGCTGCTCCTACTACTACCAGTGTTGCTGCTGCAACCACCACCGTTATTACATTATCTGCAGGTCTTCAGAAACAAATTTTCTGTTTGAATGGTTATATTTGCATAGTTTCAGAATAAAATTGCTGACTTCAGTAATGTAGCTCGTAAACTTTATATAAAGCAAGAATCAGTTGGATTTTGTTGTTGGAAGATTGGTTGGGTTGGGGAAAAAAGGAAATTTCTTGCTATTCTGTCATAGAAACTGGTATAAATTGGGACAGCAATCATGGAGAGGGAAAAATGGTGGTAGTACCATCCTTCACACTCTTGTGATTCAAGAAGTTTTTGTTCACTTCAGTCCATTCAGTACAGACACTAAACTTTAACCCATGTTCTTTATCAGTGCTGTGTGTTCTGCCCACTGCTCATTAATTCTTGCCAATGTGAGTAGCTTATATGTGCCGCAGGCAATAAGCCAAGCCAGTTTCTTACCTTATATTTACAGGAAAGGTGGACGAAGCGGTGCATCTCATACTTGCCGTACCTGTCGAGGATGTGGCGTTAAAATTTCATATAGGCAGCTTGGACCTGGCATGTCCCAGCAACTTCAATCACGGTGCCCAGATTGTCGGGGAGAAGGTGAAGTGACGTGTAGTCATACTGCATTACAGTTGCAGAAACATTTTGTACTATCGCCAGTTGCCTTCATTGTAGCGAGCTACAGAACTCTCTAAATTGCCATTTGAATTTAGTCCTCATCCTTGCACCTTATCCTTTAAGATCCTCTTGTCTTAGACCAGGTCTCACAAGAGGGAAGAATGCATAAACACTTTCAAAAGGCCATACTGCATTGTTTCCCTTTCTTAATTTGGTCTTCTTAAAATGGATTTCTGTTGCTGTGTTATTTTGCATTTTTATGACAGTAGTTTTCCAGAGAAAGAACTATTTAAGTATGAATTTAGAAAGTTTACAAGAGTAGGGCAGAGACAGTGGGTTACCAGGAGTGTTATGGGGCGCTAACCAGAAATAACCTCAGAAGTAAAACTAAATGTACATGTGGTGCAAAAATTATGAGAAAGCAGTGATGGCTACTTACAAATCATTTGTTATGATCAAGTTGCAGGGGGGAAGAAACCCCTATTTTGAGCAGTGGTTTTTTCATTTATTTGACATTATGAAATTGATGGTTCCAGTGGTTTATGTTACTGTAAACAAGTCTCTGTTATAAGCTGTGCTCACTTTATCCTGTTTTACTATTTTTATAATTATATGTGTGCTACAGGTGGACATTGTATAAGTGCAGTCTTTGCACTAATGATAAATTGTATTTTTGTATTCAGAACTAAGCATTTATAGTATTCACCAAATGTTAGGAAGATGAGATGGGCAGTGCGGGTAGGATGCATAGGAGAAATGAGAAATTAAAAAAAGTAAATGGTAAAGCTGTCCCTGTAACAGGCCGCGAAGGCTCATGGGGGGTGTGAGAGGTCAAGGATTCTGGACAGTTGGCTCATAGATGGCGCTAAGGTTGTTAGCCTTAGGCACTGGCTGCCTTTTACCCCCAGGAAGATTCCTGATACTCATTTCTGTTAGAGGCTGAGTCGACCCCAGGGCCATAGTGCAGCTGGAGGGATTAGGTCAGTTGAAAAATCCAGTGACCTCATCGGGATTTGATACCATGGCCTTCCAGCTTCTAGCATAGTGCCTCAACCAACTATGCTACCGCATGGCCCCGAAATGAGAAATACATTCAGAATCCTAGTTTGAGATCTGAGAGGATGAAACTATTTGGGAGTCCTGTCTTAGAGTGGGAGGATAATATGAAAACAATTCTTAAATAATAGGGTTGAGTGCTTGAACTGTATTGGGCTGGCATAGGATAGAGCCCATTGATGTGTTCTCATGAACGCAGTAATGAATTCCGGAGTCCATAAATAATTCATGGCATTTCTTAAATAGTTGAATGACCATCAGCTTCTCAAGGACTGTGTACCATAGGTTTAGTTATTCAGAAATGAACATAATCTGTGCTCTCTTAATAGGGAAAGTTATTAATGAGAAAGACCGCTGCTCACTTTGCCATGGCAAGAAAGTGGTGAATGAAACTAAAATTCTGGATGTCCACATTGACAAGGGCATGAGAGAGGGTCAGAAGATTTACTTTCGAGGAGAGGGAGATCAACAGGTGAGTATGATGGAACTTAAGAACATTAACATACTGAATTGCAGTTCTCAATAGTAGTTTTGTTCCAAGGCATGGATGAACTCTGTAATATGCTCTGGCACAACATTTGTGTTCTACGAGCTGCGATGAGTGTACCACTGAATAAAGACCATCTTTTGTCAGTTTTCCAAAACAGAGTTAAGGAAAACAGTTTTCTTAGTCTTACATATTTCTCACAATCTGTTGCATAAGTTTCCATTATATTTATCCTTTGTCTCTGCTAGGTGTGATTTAATAATAATTGCTTTTGTTATTCTGTTTTTGAATTATTTGCATATTTATTAAGCTGCAGAGACCATGATAAGTAAGACATATTTTCCATCAGTAATATCGTAACCAGTTCAGTTGATGGCATGAAAATTAAATCTGTACACTGTTCCACAAAGTGCAACATGATGTTCAGGTGCTCAGTGAACTGAAAAGTTTGAGAACCAGTGGTTTAGAGCAAAGACATGCAATTGTGCAAATATAGGTAGTGGTGACATAATTGTATTTTTGTGAGTATACAGATTTTCATTCCACTAAAAAATTGAAAACATTTTTTGATCAGTGTGGTTGTAGTTTGACAGATTAAATTTAGGAAATATCAACAGCTCAGAATCATCCCGTCTTCTGCCTGAAGTTACAAATATTTAAATGTCCAAAACTAATTTCACATGTTGTGTTGTGTGGGTGTGAAACTTGGTCCGTTACACTAAGAGAAGAATATGGATTGAGGGTGTTTGGGAATAGGATGCCAAATATATTAGGTCATAAGAGACAGGAGGCCAGAGAAAAATGCTAATAAGGAGCTTTATAATTTTGTCTTTGCCAGATATTTTTAGAGTGATCATATCAAGGAAGATGAAATTGGTGTAGTGCAAGGGTCTCCAAACTACGGCCCGTGGGCCATATCCGGCCCACAATGTGATATTATGCAGCCTGCGAAAGAATTGTGCAGAAATGCACCAGTTGAACTAATTTTCCAATGAGTACTGGTAAAAAAAACTTGTTCATAGATTTCAAATTCATTAATTAAGATTGTGTTTAAAATATATTGATATTCCATATTATGTTAATATTATTATTCACAATTGTACTAAATTCTGGACCGTATACTGAGCAGTATTTCTTCGTACTTGTTCGGCCTCGATCGGCAGTGTCACCTCGTGGCAATGTAGATAGCGCGAGCAGTTCGTTACTAGCCGTCTTGTGCATAAGACGTCTTGCAGTGGTGCAGTGTAATTGTAACAGATCATCATCACCTCAATTTAATCAGATTTTAAGAATGCAAAAAGAGTTCCATCATTTACATTAATTGTTTTATTATAATTTGTGATGAAAATATGAGCATTTGCTGCTACTGTCTGTTGTCATTAATATACAATAATTTATTCTCATATACTTTGTATTTAGTGTATGAAATTCTGTGCTTTAAATAAAACTCATATACCTAGAGTTATTAATTTCTCATTTTATCCGGCCCATTGAAAGTGCTGAATTACCTTATGTGCCCCGCGTTTCGAAAAGTTTGGAGACCCCTGGTGTACTGCATAGCATTTGTGGGAAAGGCTAGAGTGGCATATGTTATGCTCAAAAAAATCTGATGAGGAGAGCTCACTTGGTGGTGCTAGGTATATGTGGTAGGATAATATTAATATGGGTGTTCAAAAAGGAGGGTTTGAAGCTATGCTCTGGATCCATTTATTTCTTGTAAATGCAGTAGTTATCCAAAGCCATTGTAGCACATTCCAGTGTGTTTTAGCTGCCTGTGAGAGTTCTCACTACTCATCTTTTGTGGTCATGTTCCCATCTCGCTGAAAAAGTGTCATTAAGTAACTTCAATCAGGGCTTCACCTGTTGCTGTGGTTCACAGTATAAGCTGCAAGAAATTTAAATACATGCCAGTTTTCCACATGCATTTAGCAGAAATGTGTATCTTTTTGACTGCCTCTGTGGTCACGTGGTCAGATTTCCTGGCTACAGATCAAAAGGTCCGGGTTCGATTCCAGTTGCTACCAGAACAGGATCCACTCAGCCTCATGAGGATGATTGAGGAGCTGTTTTAAGAAAATAGTGGTTCCGATCTAGAAAATCGAAATTAACGGCCATTGGGATTCATTGAGCTGACCACATGACACCCTCTATCCACTAATGTTGGCACTAATTTCACCGACAAGTGGCGGTCACTCGGTTAGTATAGTTTGGTTGCGGACTAAAACCACGGAGTTCTTTTTTCTGTGTGTGTCCAATTAGAAATGCATTCAGCACACTGTTTTGCCTTTGTACATATCATGATACTGTCCAAGTGCATGTTAAATTGGCAATGACATAGATGGTATACTGAACCTGAGATGCCAGCTGTCTTCATGTAGCATGAATGATGTGAACATAGAATTTGACGAAAACCCCGGTCACCCTTGCAGCCTGAAGTTGAACCTGGAGACGTGATCATCGTCTTGCATCAGAAACATCATGACAAATTTCAGCGCTCAGGTGATGACCTAGTGATGACACATACCATCACACTCACAGAGGCACTCTGTGGGTTCTGCATGGGGCTGAAACATCTTGATGGTCGTGAACTTCTGATAAAACATCCTCCTGGACAGGTTGTTAAACCAGGTGAGTCTTGTGTGTTGTAACTGTGAATGTTCCCTTTGTACTTGAATTCTGAATCTCTTGCTGACAATCTGGGTACAGTGCTCTCCGTTTTGTAACACACTGCACAGAAAGTGAATGCCCTAATACAGGGAGTCCCACAAATGTATGAACCTGTCTGGTGCAGTTGGTCAGTTACTGTGTTGTCACCGACTCACTTCCTGATGAAATATTTCCTTTGTACATGGTCATTGTCAGTGAAATACTGGGAAGCTTTCTTGTAATTTATGAGCAAGCTTCCCAGTATTTCACTTCCTACCAAAAGCAGTGATACATCAGATGGTGAATAGATTTTGAACAACAGGTTCTTTGTTGTAGAAGGTGTGGAATTGGATGTGACATGACCTTTCAGAGAAACGGTAGGTAATACCAGAGCTCATTTAGATACATGCCCATGACTGTCTTCAAAACTGGTTTCATAATAAAGCTGCTACATTTAAAGCAGCAGAGATTTGCTGCGGCACAGTTATTTCTTGAGCCACACTGTTCTATGTAAGGTAAAGGTTTGTAACTGGCTTTCTGAGGCAGTGTGTGGTGGGTGTGCTTGTTGGTTTCCCAGACCAGGTACAGTTTCACCAGACTGGGCACAGAAATATCCAGAATGACAAATACTGGTCATCAGAAAATCCTAGATTGATAAACAAGGTCCATTTTACCTGGTGTTAAAGTTGGTATATGGTATGCTGTCAGTGCAGCAAGAGCTATTGGATCAGTTGGGTCTTAAACATTTGTCTTAGTACATATTCCCAGTTTTGCACTTTTATCATGTCATTTTTATTTTTCCAGATATGCTGACCAGTCTGCTCATTACTTTTTCACTGTGTAAGGCCTTACAGTTTATGTCCATCCAAAATGCATATTAATAAAATTATTTGCCCTCTTTTGAATCTTACCACTGAAACGTTTAGCTGTTAATACGGTCATTGCTATACTGAACTGTCATTCTTCCGTAAATTTTATTAATTTTCCCACACTCTGACCATAGAAATCACCACAGTTTTTTTTTCTTCTTTGGTGCATCAATTTTAAACATGCTAGAGTTATATTGCTTCTCAAAGGACAAAGAAAATCAAATTAATTTAAATGAGTATATCCACCACCTTTATCAGTGCTGCCAGTATCAGTTTTCTCAAACTAAAATTACCCTTGATTTATTACTGCCCCTTTTATAGGCTGCATGATGTTTGGTAATATTAACATGGTCATGTAATGATCAGTTGTCTCAGTTCAAGACTGACTGTGTTGCTAATGGAAAGTAATCACATGGCTGCATTTCAAATTATTTCTTGCTGTCTGTGTGCCCCATATCTTATTTACCAACAGCACACTTTTGTGGGTAGCAGTCATACTTATTTGTGATGTCAATTACTTCTTTACACATAGACCACCTGAACTGTGTTTCCTCAGTCCCTCCAGTCATGGTTCCTTCTACCACAGCCTTTCTAGTTCATCAGTGGTTGATACTGTATGTAGCCTGTGCAGTTGACAAACAAAAGAAGTTATGTAAGTTTTGAGGTTTTCACAGCGATGACTATGAAGAAAGTCATGTTTGGGCTGGAAGGAAGCATGCTCCATCTTATTGCTTAATTTATTAAAACAGTATTTTCTTTGCTTGAAATATTTCACAACTAATATATAGATTCTGAGTGCTGATTTAGAATATTGATGTTTAGAAGTCAGAATTTCAAAAAGCCATAACAGTTAGTTCGATGTACTATGAAATGAGCCATGTTTCTCTAACTTAGGAATAAATTAAAGAACAAATGTGTCGACCAAATTTTGGAAACTTTCAGTGCATTTTGGATGTCATAATTTTTTGTTTCAGGTGACATTAAGGGTATTGAAGGTGAGGGTATGCCTCATTATAGAAATCCTTTTGAGAAGGGCAACTTGTACATCAAGTTTGATGTTACCTTTCCAGAGAACCACTTCACAAATGAAATAAAGCTCAAGGTATGTTTCTGTACTTTGTATGAATATGAAGTATTGTTAGGAGCTGTGCAAACTGAGAAAAACCTTATGTACCTTTTTTTGGGGGTAGAAGGGGCTCTGTTGAGTTATATATTCGAACACTTTTCAGGAATAGAATTATAGTTCTAGAACATTTGGAGAGAAATGGTGGTGGAAACAGGCAGAGAAACTCTTTTCAAAAGCCTGTACTAGAACTTCTGATATGTGTGTCACAAGGTACTGAAATGCGCACACAAAAGAATATTATCTTCCAAACTGGGAATCAGCAAAATGAAAGGGAAGGAAAATATTCACTCCTACATACCTGTTCCTAAAAAGTAAGGATATTATTGAGTTGATAATATTAGTCACAAGGTGTTTAAAATGTGACCACAAGAGTTTTGTCTTTGTAGCCTAAGACAGAAAATGGTACAGAATTAAAAATGTACATTTTTACGTTCCGTTTTCACAAGGTACAAGAAAGTTGAAAATTTGTTCACAAGAAACTATCTCCTGAAGTGTATGAAACAAAAATACAAACTGGTATGGTTTAATTATTTTATCTTTTAATTCCAGCCCTCCAAAGAAATTTGCCATTTATCACATTTTTAGAGATTGTGTTGGCTTTTGTGTGTGTTGTATGTGCATGTTTCTGTTTTGGTAGGTCATGTATGCACATGTGTATTTAAAATACAGTCATTGTTAAATTGCAGTGTTTGTGTCATGTGTCAGCCAAACACTTCAATTCAGTAGTAACTGTCTAATTATAAGCCAATGTCTGCATATGTAAGTCAGTGTAATTTGATAAACAAAATTACAACATTTTATGTCTGCTGCAGTAGGTGGTGGGGAATGGTTTCTTAGAGCTGTGTGCTTTTACATTGAACCCCCAATATACCACATTTATTCACATCGATGTTCCGCTCTTTACACAATATTTTTTCGTTAAAACAAAGATGGAGAACTTAACGTGGTTTCAAAACAATTTAAATATGTACGGTGAAATTATGTATTTAGTGAATATTTTTCTTTTCCTGGAAAAATTGAAGTGTAAACATTGTATTACTTCTGCATAGTTAATGCATTTCAATATAGTAAGTAACTTGCATTTAATGTAAGAAATTTTGTATTTTCCAAAGCTTGTACCTTGGTTTAGTGTGATTGTGGTCATCAGTACAATTGATTTCCATGTTTTCTCTGTTAGAAATTAATCCCATACAGCCACCGTGTTTATTGCATGTTAGGATTTGTTTCAGAAATTTATTGGTTATGTAATTTTATTTATTTGTGTAAGATTTTTTTTTCAGTGTTTATTTCATATGTAATTGATTGTTTTGGAATTTAATTTGATATTATTATGTTAATTGTATTTGTGTAGGAACAGTTTGCATAATCACTAAGGTAAAGAAATTCTATTATCATCGTTATATATAGTAAGTCTTATAAGAAGATGAATAGTTTCTTGGTATAATTTTGCATAGCCCCCATACATTGAAAACATTAGTTTATGTAAGAAAGGCATTCTTCCAGAATTTGCTGAGTAGGGGTTTCATTGTATTGCAAGTCAGTAAGTTGATGTCCTTGGCAGCTTATTCCGTTACAAAGGCAGGCAATCAGGCCATTGGAATGATGAGAGGGAGGCAGAACCAAGAATTCAGATAACTACAAAGTTAAGTGATATCAGTGATTTCATTATGTCCATAAAAATTAGCAGTACGAATTTTGGCAAAGGCTCTTTTTGCGTGGGACTGATTCCTGATGGGGTCATTGGATTTTTCAGTTGAAATAATCCTTCCAGCTGCACTGTGGCCCTGAGATCAACTTAGCCTCGAATATAATGAGTACCAGGAATCTTCCCTGGGGTGAAGAGCAGCTGGTGCATAAGTCTGACAACCCCAGCACTATCTGTGAGCTGATTGTCTAAAAAATAAAGAAACCTTGATGTTTCACAACCCTGTGGGCCTCCATGGCCCGTTACAGGGCAGCTTTACCTTTACCATATCCATTCATCAGGCCTCTGGGAGGGACTCTGAAAGTGGAAATTAAAGGGCAACATAAAGAGTTACAACCATCATGTCAGAGTAAAGGGGAGGCCATTATGTGGCTAAAATCTTCTTTTTCCAGATACATTTTGTGTCAGTTACATGGACACAACTACATGAATAAGTTCGGTAGAATCCCGATTTAATGGCCCTTGATATAAAATTCTCCCCCATATAGTGTTCAGTTTTGGGGGAACATGGTAATGTGCAAGGGTTGGATAAAAAGTGGTGGCAACACTGCTCTAAGGTGAAAGATGTGCGTCAGGTGGCACTAGTGCTGTCTGTAGCTGATTGCAGAAGTTCAGTTGAATTAGTGCAGCAAATGGCTCTGGTTGTGTTTCATTGAGTGGCATTGTGCATCATCTTGAGGTGCATGAGCCCAGTTCAAGCACCCTAACAACATGTTTACGAAACAAGAACAATGCTCCTGGATAAAAATTGAAGTTGCACGAGGTCGTAGTGCACAAAACTGTTATCAAGGACTGCAAGAAGCATGTGGTGATGCTGCTTTGCCATATTACATAGTGGAACGGTGGGTGAAATTGTTCCGTGAAGGGAGGGATGCCATTCAGGACAACTTCATGTTGAGAACCACACAATTCAGGTTCTTGCTTCTTTGCTGGATGTCAGTCATCGATGGGCTGCGCAGGAGTTAGCTGCTGAGGTAAGTGTATATCACAAAACTGTGCTCCACATTCTGCATGATAATCTTGGATACCACAAAATTGCAGCGCTTTTGGTACCCCATACAATGTCCGAGGTGCAACAGTGGCAACGTTGTGCAATTGCACAGGACTTGTTGGACTAGTACCAGAAGGAAGGTGATGACTTCCTTGGTATGTCACTCTGGATGAAACTTGGACTTGCTCATACTAACCACACTTGAAGTGATGATCAAATGAATGAAAGCATCCTTGTTCTCCTCGTCCAAAGAAAGTGTACCCTACACAGAGTAATGTGAAGGTGATGTTTATTGTGGCGTATGACATTGATGGAATGATACTGCACCACACTGTACATCAATGACAGACAGTAAACGCTGTCTACTACTGCAATTTTCTGCATAATCATCTTCATCCAGCACTCAGGAGAAAGTGACGACACTTGTTGGCAACGAACCCCATCATCCTTCATGGCAGTGCAAGGGCTCACACTGCTGATGCTGTCAAGGATCTCCTTTGCCGCTGGCAGTGGGAGATAACTGCAGCATCCGCCATGCTCACCGAATATGAGTCCATGCAATTATGATTTCTTTGCCAAAATGAAAGAACCACTGTGAGGGACATGTTACAACACAAGAGCGGAGATTATTCATGCTGTAGGGCGGTCACTGCTGGACATCAACAGAAGTGGATGCGCTGGTGGTGTATGATGCCTTCCACAAATTTTGCAGAAGGTGCGCATGGGGGACGATTATATCGAAGGAATGTAAGTGTGCTTACCTCCAGTAATAAAGTCATCTCAGAACTATAGAGGCGTTGCCACAACTTTGTATCCAACCTTTGTAGTTGGTTCAGGCAGTATATTGTAAGCTGGAAGATCATGGGTTCGAATCCCAATAGGGTGGATTTTTCTCTCCCCCCCCCTCCTATTTACCTAATCCTTTCAGTTCCACTATGACCCTGGGGTTAGAGCAGCCTCTCACAGAAATGAGTAGAAGTAATCTTCCTGGGGGGTAAAGGGCGGCTGGTGTGTAAGGTTCACAACCTTACCACCATCTGTGAGCCGATTGTCTAGAAGTGTGGGAGCCTGACGTCTCACAACCCTATGGGCCTACATGCCCTGTTACAGGGATGCTTTACCTTTACCTTTTATAATGTGCAATTTCAGTTGTCCCAAGTCACTAATCTGAGTGTTAAATTGTCCTCATTTAAGATATTTGTAGTTCATGTTCAAAAGCTCTACCCCAAGCAAAACTTAAATTTTGTTTTCACTGTAGTAGATCATCTTTGTCAAGTTATATTTAAATGTGTTTCTGTAACGTTTTGTGTACTAATCAGAAAGTTGCATGTAGGAACTGGAGCAGCTGCTACCACCACGACCTACATTTGAGATGCCTAAGGGAGACAATTTTGAAGAAGTGGACCTTCATGAGTATGATCCCAATGAACGCACTGCTGGTATGTCTGGCCGGCAGGAAGCATATGCCAGTGATGATGATGAACATGCTGGTGGTCCAGGTGGCATTCAGTGCTCTCACCAATGATGCCCCTGTTGCAACTTTAGTCTGGCCAAATTGCCATGTGGCTAATTGCCTAATGATTCTGGGAGCTGTATGAACTTTATATTTGAATTTATTTAAACGCATACCTTAATAGAAAAACAATTGGTTGGTTCTTAAATGCCTCATCCAAGCATCATGTCATTTCCAAGATCTGTTTGTTGTAATTTTTATGGATGAGATTAGTGCATTTTAATTTTATTTTATAGAATTGAATATCTCTCATGTGAATATCCCAAACAGTGTGCTAAAGGTTAGTGCTGTGGAAAAAAAAAAAGAAAGCTTGTCTGACCATAATGTTTATAAAGCAAAACATTTTACTCGTTGAAAAATTCATTAAAAATAAGACACTTGGTCATTCTTTAATAATTTAAACGTTTCTCCTAATAGTGATCACACATTCAAAATGCTAGTTGTCAAGAGATAAAACATTGTAACACATAGAATTGGGGAGAACAGTGTACTGCTGTGGTTGGTTATATATTACCCATCAAAAATAATATAAATTAAGAGTTTTTGTTACTGTCATGTTTTGCTTGTGCAGTGTTGAGGGAGACTGTATGATATGTTTTAATATACCCATGAGTGGATATGAGTGAATTATTACGGTTACTCATTATGTAAAAAAGTGAAAAATAACGTAGTACATAACTGTATGTCTTGACAGAGCTGAATGGATTAAATGTAAGAAGTGCTCCAATGTTAAAAATGCAGAATGCATAAACATGTGTAAAATGTGTCACAGTATTTATTCTTTTTGTATATATTAGAAACGGTCTCTGTGAAGTCAGGAGTAGCTCTGCAACTATCCTGAAGGAGGATCATGAATAACAGTTGGCTAATATTGAAATGTATGCAATCCATCATTGAGGACCAGCATTTATAACCTGTAATCCAAACAGTTGTTGCATCTTACAATTGCATGATGATAAACAAGAATTTTCCAACCAGGACTGGAAGAAAATAAATAAATTGTTGATTTTTTTATGTGCATGATAGATTGTTTTGCTTGAGGGTAAAGAAAACAGACATTTTGAAAAAAATATACCAAGAGGTTTGAGAATTTTAAACTGCAGTATTATTGAGTGGTTGGGATTCTCAATGCCTGTGAAAGCTTCTGTACCAACATGCTTAATAACAGCTCCTTTCATCTCCAAGAAAGTAAATTTAATATATACATATATTTCTGTTCGAGTACTTGTTGCACATGAAGAACACACAAGAGTACCTAGAAAAGGAGCACTTTTCTTCATACTTAAATTTTGAATATCTGCTTGAATCAAATTGAATATTTATCATAAAGAAGAACAACGTTGTAGAAACAAAACAAACTCCGTTGACTGTAGTCTGCAAGCGAACTATACTGACTGAGTGACCACCTCTTCTCAGCGAAGTTAAGTGCCAACTTTAGTGGATAGAGGGTGTCACGTGGTCAGTGCAACAAATCCCCATGGCTGTATCAGTGTAGAAACAGACACAGAAAACTAAGTACAGTCAACTCTCGATTATCCGGGATAATGGTGGGGATGGAAATCACGATTAATCGAAAACCCGGTTAAGACAAATTTTATTAATAGTACTGTAATACTGTACCTTCATAATACTATAGGCCTACCTGTATTTAAATTTATTCAACCTCATTTTTATGTCATCTCATAGCCTATTTAATACTTTTTTTACATTACACTGAAGTATTAATTAGTTATTTCAGTCACAGTCTTCAACAACATCCAACACTTTGACGAATATTCACACTTAACACTTAAAAAAATGTAATATTGTCGTTTACTTTTTCACGGCATTTTCCTTTTTCTGTTGAATACTTAACACAACACGCTTCCTTTTACACCCTGACATTTTGCTAACGCACTTGAAGATCGATACAAAGATACTAGCTGGGGCGATGTATCTTGCCTTGAAACTTTCCACAAATCCTTGCATTCTTTCACCCCTACCCTAGAACATTGTGTTAGCATAACAGGACCAAAGAATGCAGAGCTCGGTTCACACTAGTGTGAAAATAGTGTTACAACTCGCCATGTGAAACAGAAGTGAATGAATATTAAACAACATATAAGCCTCAAAAAAGCCTCAGTAGCCCCAGTTAATCCGCCCCCGGATAATTGAGAGTTGACTGTATATATATCAACATCAGAATTCAGTTCAGAATGATCATATAAGGTCATCAGAAAAGAACTGTCTAGCTTCCAGATGCATTAACTAGGAAAACTTGCAAAATATGAAATCAAGAGCTTCCCCCCCCCCCCTCATTTTTAATGTCTGAAGGCAGTGAAGCTTTTGTGATGTGCTCAAGAAGCACTGCTCGTAGCCCTACAGATGTCCATGCAGTATTTAATGCAGGTGTGATGAAGCTCTTTGCATGTGGAAACTACTCGCCTTCATCAATTTCATTTAGCATGAAAATTTGAATATTCAACCCACCCCTTGAATTCTTGTCTCAGTTATATTTTGGAAATAAGGAAAGAATCTTAGCACTTAAGCAGCACATTTTGGGTAAGTGTGTATAGCAAGTTTCAAACTGGCAAAGGCTATATATCTTGGGACTGTGTATGCACAGTACACTTGTGTGTTCAGCATGTTCTTTTGGAGAGTGTGGTCTTTCTGGTGACTTTTTCTTTAGTAAGATTCCTTCATTAAATTGGGTAAACCAGTGATAAATCAATCTGGCACTTTTAGGTTTTGTTGTTTATATAGGTTGTGTATGGTCACAGTGGGCTTGAATGTAGTAAACCATATGATACATTTGGCTTTCTCCCAAATGAATGCCATTATGCTGGCTGCATTAGACACAATTTACTGTCACAGATAGCTCAGTGCACATGCACAGCAGCCAAGGAATGAAATCTTTTGTGAGTTGCTGAACATTTCAGAGCAAAGTCTGTGATTATATCAGATTAAATGAGATATTACATTTTGAAACTAAGGAATTGTTGCTTGATGATTGTGTATAAGGATAATGTGATAAACTTGGATGTTTGGGGAGAATCAAATCAAACATTGGGAATGCTTGCTAACAGTTATTTCAGAATATTTGTTTTCCCATCTCTCATATGGAAACCTACATACACATGCACAGAATTATAATTTTATCTCCAAAATTGAGGAGGATGAGATTGGTAGGGTGTGCAGCGTTCATAGGGGATATAAGAAGTACATTTGTAACAAGAACCTGAAGAGATGAGCTCCCTTTGGAGGCAAGGCATAGATGTGAGAATATTAATATGGCATATTGCGTGTCATTTGGGCTTTACTCTTGTCAAGTTTTTCTATAGGTGTTTGCGAACGAAGGCACTAGAGTGCCAATCACCAATGGTCATCAAGCCATATCTAGAAGACTGCCATGAGCAGGGGGGCATGTACATACTCGTAGGATGGGGAAGACAATGCTTACATGATTTTGAAAGGGAAATGTCCAGGAAGGCGAGTCACATGGAAGGAACTAGCTCATTGCATCTAATGGCAGACTTTGGTGTTAGCTTCAGAACAACTGCTATAAGTTAACATGATGAGCTGTCTTCAAGTAAAGTGATGCAGATTCTCAGGCAGTGAATCTTCAGGGGTGTTTAACTGGAACAGATTCTCCTGACAATGCATGTTTTAAAGATCCAGTACCAGAAAATATTAAAATCAAATGTTTGGATGAACAGAATTTACCTCCATGGTATAGGTTCATTTGCATTCTTGCAAACAACAACTGGTAGATATTGTCACTTATATGAAGTGTGACTATAGACGGGGTTTGGATTGATGATTGGATTTATCGGTCTCTATAATATAACACATGGCTACTGTTCTCAGTCTGTTACGATCTCCACTAACTGTTGCTTGGTAGCGACTTCCAACGGCGGACGTTTCCCCTCCTCTGGCTTCCCGAAATGTCCCTTACCTTGGCTACAGAAACTTTCGAATGTGTGTAAGAGGTGTCATTCTTATAACATCTTGGCATGGACCACGTAGAAAACACCGTTTACCATCGACTATACAGTTGACGTGGAAACATGCTCTTATGCGAAGCCGTTACTCAATAAAGACTGTCTCAGCTATGCCTCACAGTTGTTGCTTTGAGCAAATATGCCGCCGTATGTTCGCACTAATACCTTTGCCCTTTGTTGCATAACATAAGCTCGTGTAACTTACGTGTTTGCGGGGTCTCATTTTCGTTTTCCCAGTTCCATAGGTTCCCCTTGTTTGTCTCATAACTGCTTCCTTTCTTCAGATTCCTCCTTGCCACCATTATGTAAAGGCCTTGTAACCGCAATGTTTTTGGTCTTCGTCTTCCAGGAGTTCAGATAATTCCTTCTGTGTATACGTACAGCTTAATCGTAGATTTCATGTGTATTTTCTTATGCGCTCGTCATTTGAGAACATTGCACCTCGTCAGCCTTGAACATTCTCGTGATTTCAGTAGAACCCCTGCCTGGTTTAGTAGACAGCCTTGCATTCTGACGATAAATGGAAGTACTGTATATTCGTTTTGATCTTCCGTGCAGGTCTCTAATGCTGCTTGCTTCTTCCATTGTCAACATTAGCCTCGAACCCACTTCCGGTTTGCATAATTCAGACTGATGTTCTTTTGCTGGATATTCCATTACATCATGTAGCAGTCAATGACGTTAGTTCTTGTGTCTGCAAAGTAAGTTACGCAGGCTTATTCACGCCACAGCATTAGAGAAAATTGCATAATAAGGAGCATATTAATTCTTTATGCCTGATATTACTGAGGTGATTAAATTAAAAGGATGAGGTTGGCAGGACACGTTTCCCGCATGGAAGAAATAAATGAATTTCTGGCGTTAAACGGGGGTGGGATATTGAAATAAAATTAACTTTGAGAAATAGGGCCTGCAAGTGTTGACAGGATTAAACTGGCTAGATACTGGGTCTAGTGGTGGGCCCTTACAAACACCGTAATGAACAATAAGGGCATCTAAAAGGTTGGAAATTTTCTGAACTGCTTAGCAACCATCAGTTTCTCAAGGACTATGCCGCATGGAGCGAATTAGATGTTCGTCGATAGAAGCGAAAGAATGTCTACGTGTTGTGAAGTGAAGGATTCGAGGGATGAGACCGTTGGTTATTTCAAGAGTGGGCGGAAACCCCACGAAAACGTAAGTCAGGGTAGCCGGGACTCGAATAGAAGTGAGGTCGTTAACGCTTGAGGTGACAAATCAGTTACTGAAGCTCTACGTCCACGTCCCTCCCTGTAGCTTCCCAGTCATAAGTGAATCGTGCTCCTTGCTGGAATGATAATTCGACAAGGCGATGACCAAAAAGTCTTTATAACGAAGTGGGGTTGATGGTCTTAGGTTCAGCAACTGTTCGGAAGTCGTCACATTTCATCAACCTCAACTTGTTACCGATTTGCAAAGAGCCGCAACCAAAACAATATAAGAACCCTCTATATAACGGCAGAAGTGTACCTCTCACCAAGACAGCTGGCTGTGCCGTCGTGTTCATAATGTTAATGGTGAAAGGTAAAGGTATCCTTGGGCTACATTAATTAAGCTCCTTGCTGTGAAGGAGATGGAGGAGTGGAGGTATAATTCCACCATTCTTAACCTCGTCACTAGAAGGAGGTGAGTGGTCAGCTTCACGCCCTTGTCGCTATACTCCCAGGGCAACAACTCCCGGTACCTATTGTATAGAAGGCTAGGTGGGCTCCAGAGGCTGTTCAGACGTTACGGAGGAGAGAAGAATCCCTTACCCCTACTGGGAATTGAGCCTTGGTCCTCGGTTGTCCAACCCGTAGCAGAATCGGCTGTTAATGGTAGGGAATTTCAAGTGTAGCGTTGAGGATATGTAACATTGACGAAGTAGCCAGCCAGAACCGGCATGGAAGAGTAGTTCATGGCCAAGGGGTTATGCCCTTACCTCTATGAAGCGCGAGTCGCATCCGTATCTCGTTACTGCACCGCGATGAGTTACAGTAAAGAAGGAAGGTTACCCATCTGCATAGTGCTGAACCTCGCATCTCGACAAGAATGTTAATCTGGAAGATATGAATTCTGACACGATGGAAATTCGAACTACGAAGTCATCTGATGCTGCT